CCACAGACCTTACGTTGCATTGACTTAATCCTTTATCCGGGACTGACCGCCCGGCAGATCCTCTCTTCACCATTCTCCCCGACTCTCTCCCACCTATTCTTACAAAACATTCTCGCTTCCCAATTGTGAGACGCGCACAGCCTGGGGGCTCTTTCTAGCCCACTCGAATCCGCGATCCGCTTTCGAGTCGGAGGGCGTATTGAGGGGTGTCGCCCATTTCATATCATAGTGGTGTGTTGGCACCTCGTCGCCTGTTCAGCTCGTGGCCCAGTCGCCCGTGCGTCCCCCTACCATGGCGCAGGTGACGCAGCAGTCTGAGCCTGCCAGCAGCGCGAGTGCGGCGCCCCAGCCCACCACCACAGCAGACGGCCACGACGAGTCGGGCGGCACCATCGCAAGGGATGATGGTGCAGATCACGAGCAGGTACGGAAATACAGTATGCCCAATAGTGCACTTTGTGATGTATTGTGATGGTCACGGCATGCATGCACACCTGGATGTCAGGCGGCGTCTGGTGTTGATGATAGTCATGGTGTAGCTGAGGGTGGGGGAGAGATGCAGGCCGACGCCGACGACATAGACGAGGTACGTGCTGGCTGTGGCCTGTGGCCAGCAGCAGGCCACCCACAGGACAGTACAGCACAGCACAGCACATCTGTCCTTGGTGGGTTCTGTTGTGTTATCAGGATAGCGATGCTCGCCGCAAAGTGGTACGCAAAGTGGTGCAAAAGGAGGCAACCAGAGGCAGGAACGTTCGTCTTCACTTTGTGTCACATACAGCCGAAGCACAAGGAGCAGCGCATCCGCCGGCAGCAACCCAAGAGCTTGCCCGACCGGCCACCGTCTGCTGTGAACGAGTTCCCCGTCAGCGCAGTGCCGCGCCTGATGCGGCAGGCGGTGCGCATGTGGGTCAACGACCAGGAAACCGACGTCACAATCCTGCGTACGGGGAGCACATGGGTCATGTCTGTGTGTATGTGTGTGTGCACTGGGGTGTGGTGTGGTGTGTATCATCCATCAGGCGAGGAGGCGGCTGTGTTTCCCGAGGAGGCGTTTGGTGCGGAGCGGGCGTACATTCTCATCAAGTCGATACTGGGAGCGCCATCGATCTTCGTACGCAGGAATACAGAACGACGGACATGACATCTACACCTATATGTGTTTGTTTGATGGTGCTGTGGTGTGGCATGGCGTGTCGGCCAGGTGTGGAAGCTGGCTGACGCCCCCCAGGTGTTGTGCCCGTACATGCCCGTCCATTTGGGGGCCGCACCACAGCAACAGCCGCCGGCACCACCACCACCACCACCACCACAATCACAACCACAGCCAGGCGAGACGGCCGGGCCAGGCGAGACGAAGCTCACCTTCACCGTTTCCAGCTTTTTGTAAGCCAGCCAATCAACAGCAGGCAGACATAGATCCACCCACCTGTGTGCTGTGTGGCAGGTCGAGGCGCATCGGCGACCGGGGGACTAACAAGTCACAGGCCGAGTACGCCGCCATGACCATGACCACCACAACACACAATGCCCACAATGCCACACACCGCCACTTTGTAAGCGACCAACACAGAGAGAGACGGACCGATAGATAGGGATGGAGAGGCAGAATGAGTGCATTTTACTGTGTGTGGTTGGTGTCTGTCTGTCTGTGTGTCTGTCTGTGTGTATGTATGTATGTCTGTATCCTCTCTCGCATACATAGACGTTCGAGGTGCCATTCCATTTCGGCCTCAAGCACGACCGGAGTGTCATGACGCGCGACATGGTCGACAAGGCATTCCGCGAGCTGGGGCAGTTGCTCACGGCCCACTGCACCAAGTGAACAACAAAATACACGACACCGTTGTGATCCACGCGCGAGTATTTACGTGTGTGTGCAGGTGGTTCACCCAGGCCAGTGTGAAGCGTCTGGAGGCCCTCGAGAAGCCGCACGTCGTGCTGTACCTGTACGCCAAGAACGGCCGTGTGCCCTCCGACTTCCCTGCGACCACCGACAGACGCGCACTACAGCCAGACGAGGACTACGCGGTCCCCATCGCCAAGCAGAGGCGCATCGATCCCAACTGCATCAGCGTCTACGTTGACTCTGGCCTGGTACGCAGACACACAGACAGACAGACAGACGTGTTCTTGGAATGGATGGTCCAGGCCTGTGTGTATGTGTCGATTCCTGCACTGCCTGCAGCTGGCCTTCATTAGCGCATACCTGGGACCGGACAGGACGCTGTGGGACGACCAGAGCCGGAGGCTGCCGCACGATGCGAGAATGGTCGACAAAAGAAACCGCCAGTAGGCATGTAGGACGGACGCAGGAGTCGATCAGGCAGGTGGTCGGCCGGGTGGGTGGGTGGGAGGGCGGCGAGTGAGTGAGTGGGGATCGGATCGATAGAATGACTGACTGACTGCATCTGTGCCGTGCATGCAGCGCCTGTCTATACGTACATACGCAGGGATGGGACGTGCTCGTCGGCTTCCGTCGGGGGGATGGATGGACAAACCGCAGCGATGAATGAATGAATGAATGGATTGATGCGTTAACATATTGATGTTCAATCTTGCGCACGGGCCGGCTGCCCTCTCAATCATGTTTGTGGGGAACGAATGGGTCTCCCCACGACAAGAAGGAGAGACCCAAACGATACACAGTGACAGCAGCTGATAGCATACCAGGAAGGAAGAAACACATAGCAGCGACGTCCTTGGAATGAGTGAGATATCTCGAACAAGGCCCTTTCACTGGCGAAGGACGGCATCGCACAAGCAACGTTCGGCCAGGCATGTTACTCGGCTATCTTTGACGCTGTATCTGCGTCGACCAGATACATACAGCGTGGTCAGGCTCGTCAGATGGTTCATGACGTCTGACATCACATCGTATCTGATCGAAACACCAGTCACGATGTCATGTCAGACGTCCAGAATCATCTGACGAGCCTGAAGGCATTAATGACACGACTAGGGGAAGAGAGATGCAAGTTGGCCCTTTCTGCGCGCGTTTTGTCTGCAGAACCCTACGCCTGACACGATCAAGACTGCAACAAGACGACCTCGCTCGGTCCACGACATGGCGGGCGAAGGCATCTCCTGCACACTTGATGGTCTCAGGCGTCGGCAACTAGCTGATCTGATCAGGTGCACGCATGTCTCTCTGCAGACAGAAACAGAGATGAGACATACACTGACACATACACATAGACACACGCTGCAGCAGGCACCTAAATAAAGAGAACAGCTGCTACCTGCCATCTCAACTCTCAACAACAGAAAGCTTCATTTGACAGAAGGGAAGGCATTATCGTCGCTCAGGCATCACCCAGCCAGTCGAATCACACACGGCCCGCCAGCCAGCTACTACTCAGCGCCCATTCACATCATGATTTCTGTCGTCTCTCTGGACGCTTGCTGCCTGAACGACCGATTGCTGGTGCTGGTGCTGCTGGCGTGCTGCACTTGATGGACAGGTGTGACTCGCAGGGCCCTCACGCCTCGATTGGGCACCAACAGCGTGACCTCACCTGAATATACCGTATGCACACAAACATACCGTACGCACACCGAGCCACCATGACGACGGCCGACACGCGAGTAGTGAGCATTATATTATTGTTTTGTCCTCCAGGTCGCCCACCTGTGAATATGCCGAGGTCTCCTTCCTCGTACAGGTCGCGCACCAGAGCCCTGGTGTCGCTGTGGAAGTGCTCAGCGTTGGGCCATCTGTTCTCGCTCCCCCCGCCCAGCCACTCAAACCTGAGCGTCATGTTGCGGCCCACCGATAGCGGTCCACAGAGCCCCGGGGTGGAGCTGGTGCCGTTGCCACTCGGGTGCTCGCAGTCATTCAGCGGCCAGTTGAAGTGCCACCGACGGTTCCACATGACGGCCGCACGGCTGCCGTCGGCGAGGGGGCCGCCGTAGACGATGTCGGGCCCCTGCTGCCTCACGACATCGCCGGCGATGGCGAGAGGGTCCTGGTTGACGGCAATCAGCTCGCGCGCCTTGAGTGTGGAGAGGTCTCGGGGGGAGATCTTGAACAGGTCGGTGGATATCATGAGGGGCGACTTGACGATGGACCACACGGCAAACTGGGCACGGTACTCCTGGAACTGCATGCCGCCGTTGCCCACCTGCAGCAGGTCAAAGTCGTTCCAGCCCCCAGGACCTGATCAAGGAAGGAACAGCACACACACACACACACACATGCCAGTGAGTGGCAGATGCTGTGTGTGTGTGTTCACTGGCTGGCTGACCTGAGAAGTGTGCGATGCCTATTCCATCGTCAGCCACTCTCACAAGTGACTCCCATGTGTCGAACAAGTCCACACCGATTCTCCACTGGTTGGACATGTCGGCCCCCCACTCCCAGGGATTGCTGTGCTTCTCACACGTCGAGTACACCATCAAACGACCAGTGCGATTCAACGCGTCACGCATCGCACCATACCTGGGGAGGCAACAGATAAAGGGAACCATCCACATGGCCGTGCATCACCACTGCCCCCTCCATTCCACCGCTCACCTATCGAGATAGGGCAGGAATCCGTTCCAGCAGTTGTCATACTTAACGAAGTCCACTCCCCACTGGGCATACGTGCGGGCATCGATGTCCTCGTAGCCCAGGCCCCCCGGCCTCCCCTGACACGTCTGCTTGCCGGCGTCCGAGTAGATGCCGAACCGGAGACCATGGGAGTGCATGTAGTGCGAGAGGGGCTTGATGCCGCTGGGGAAGGTCTTGTTGTTAGTGATGATCCTGCCACTCTCGTCGCGGCCGTTCCTCTCCTGCAGACGGAAAGCCACGGACAGAGAGGGACCAATGAATGGCTGGCATCATGAGAGTGATGCAGTGCAGACCAATGTGCAGTGCAGTGGCCCACCCCACCCACGATTGTACCTGCCAGCAGTCATCGACGACCACATACTGGTATCCCAGGTCCCTGAGCCCCAGCTCAATGAGCCTGTCGGCATTGCCCTTGATGATGTCCTCACTGATGTCGCACTTGTACGCATTCCAGCTGCTCCACCCCATCGGCGGCTGCCTCGCCAAACCATTGTTGAGCCCACACACCGGCGGAATAACAACAGTACCAATGGCAAAGGCGAGTAGAGGCCATAAGTGCCGAGAGCTTAGATGCCGACGCCCCTGGCTGGGCCCTCGACGGAGATGCTTCATCGTGATGCCGCTGCTGTGAGCGAAAGTGCGTGGAACAGATGGGGAAAGAAAGCGAGAAAGCTAAGCAGCCTTTCAGAAGGAGAGGGAGAAAAGAAGGGGAAAGGAAGGAGAGTGCGCTAAGCTCGCCGATGCGAAGCTCGCAGGCGAAACTGCTCTTCAGGGCGAAGAGGAAGCGACGATGCCCAAGTCCAAGCGAGATCGGCCCATTGCGCTGACCAAGGTGAAACGGAAGGATCCCGCGCGGAAGGAGAAACTCATCGAGGAGCTGCGCCAAGCCACTGACAAGTTCCAGTACGTCTACTTGCTGGATCTCGACAACCAGAGGAATGTCTACCAGAAGATGGTGCGGGAGAAGATGAAGCCCGGCCGGGTGTTCTGCGGCAAGAACAAGCTCATGCAGGTGGCCCTCGGCCTCACGCCAGAGACCGAGTGCCAGGACAACATACACCACATCGCTCGCAGGCTGCGGGGGGAGAGGGCTCTTCTCATCACTGACAAGCGGCCGGACGACATCGAGCGCTTCTGTGCTGACTTCCGGCCAGAGGAGTTTGCCCGCTCTGGCTTCACTGCGACCGAGACCATCGTGCTGCCCGAAGGCACGGATGCTCTGTCTAAGTTCCCTCACTCGGTGGAGCCTCACTTGCGCGCCCTGGGTCTGCCGACTCTGCTCAAAGACGGTGTGATTCATCTGATGGGCAGCTACACGGTGTGCCGGGAGGGCCAGCCGCTGACACCGGAGCAGGCGCAGCTGCTCAAGCAGCTGGGCATCAAGATGGCTCGGTTCGAGATGTACATCAACTCCTACTGGGCCAGGCAGGAGGGCCAGTTTACGGCCGTGGTGGCCGATGACGACCAAGACAGTGAGGAGCAGGATATGGACGACGATGCGGCAGAAGGCGGGGAGATGGATGACGACTAGCGGTGTGGATGCAGGACAACAGATCAAGGGATAGAGGGGATAGGAAAGGAGTGAGGGGCGGGCGGGTGTTTGCTGTGTGCGTGGCGTGGCCGATTAGGGCATTGGCCACGGTATAGCGTTTGTGAGTGGCTGTTGTGTATAGACACGGAAGGACTTGGTTCGTACGTGAACGCTTCACTTTGGCAGCAGCCGCCGCTATGAACCCTCAGGGTTTCTCAGTCCCAGGGTTTCGCAGATCCCGAAAGGGTTGGAGCGGAAGAGTGAGATGATGAATAGATGGGTGATCCCGGGCTCCATATTGGCATCAGTGCTACTGCTGGGGTATATCCTCCACAGACGAAAAAGAAAGGTATCTATGCAATGAATGCTGGTTCGTGTGCTGCGCTCATCGCTGCGTTGCTCTTCATTCAGAAGGCTGATCAGCAAAGATGGACCACATTCTGGGCCACCGTGACCACTGGATTCGAATCAATAGCCAGGTGACCTCCTGGAACACGCAGCCTGCTGCAGATCAGAATCATCACCGAATGGGTGTTGACTGTGCAGATCAGAGATCATTTGGAAGCTGCAGAGATGGGAGGAAGGATCTGCAATGGAGGTAAAAGACGCAAAAAGGTTTCAGAGGCAGAGTCTCATGATTGGGTCGTTTGCGATGCGATGCAGGTCCGCTTTGGCCACGAAGACGCGCCAGGCAAAGGTAAGAAGAAGGCAGTCGACTGAAGGAAGGGCAGTGGATTCATTTATGGTGTGTCAGTGATATTCTTTATCGAGGAGAGCCGGCCGTCAGGCGAAACGCTGAACAGGTGTGAAGCCGACCGATCAATCTTGATTTCGCAGCAATGGGTGTGTGCTGCTTCTGCTTCCCAAGTGCAGGTTGAAGAGGCTCTATTCGGTGCAGCAGATGATGGTTGCCATCTTCATCGAAAGCAACTATCCACCGAGTAAAGAAGACGCCTGATCGCAATGTTTGTCCCGTTCCAAGGACCTTTGCACTTCACTTATGAGCCCTTGTTTGTGCAGGCAAGGAGGCATTATCTCGCATGGCGGATCTGCCCAGACATGCAGGCGGCACGGAGGCATGGTACGTTAATGGCGCTCTTGACGTCCCGGAGTGAATGAGTCAGTTCCTATCCTTCAGGTCGAGAGCACTCGATGTGTGGCGCAGGTGGCGGAGAGAATGTGGTAGGAAGGCGATGATGTGAGACCTTCGTTGCGTTCAATCAGTCAGTGCCTTGGCTGCCTGTTTCATTCACTGTCTGTCTGCAGGTGACGATGCCCCTGCCGTGAGAGGCCAGGCTGTGCCTGTATTTCGCGTGACGGCCGCCCACAGTGGCAAGCACGAATTTCACAGCACAGACATCGGACAGGTGCGCAGCCAGGCCGGGCGTGGCGTACAACCCCACGACGGCATGAGTAGGTAGGTGTTTGTACGCCTGTAGACATGTGTGTGTCAGGCGATGGCCGCTGGCATCGCAGGGCATCTGGGCTGGCCTGCCGATCTCAAGAATTACGACGTAGGCCGATCTCAGCGAGCAGTTCAAGAGAAGCCTTACGCATTTCCTCCTTTTCGCTCTCCTTCCCGAGTCAGTTTGAGATCTACGCCCACCTTCGTTATGACGTGGGTAGACCTTTGCAACGTCCTGTGACGCCATGTTGTTGGCTGGGTGGCTCCTTTCGACGTGTGTAGACGCTCACTGTGGGCATCCCCTTGACGCGCAAGTCCATCAACGACTCGTCCGTCCGAGCAACTGAGCAGCAGGCTGCTCAAGACGACCAACCCGACCAGCTTGTCTCGGCAGCAATCGACGATGGGGCCCAAGACGCACCTGCTGGCGGCCAGCCGTCGAGGGGCTGGAAGAGGCGGAAGATAATCGATGATAGCACCAACAGCCTGTCCCTCCTGGACCCAGCGAAAAGGTGAGAGGAGCGACATCGGCACGACCATTCATGCAGCACGGCTATGTCTGTGTGTGGGTGTGTCCTTGTCCTTGTGCTGCAGGGAGAGGTCGTGTACTAACCTTCGGCCTGCTGTGGCCTACTGCCTGACTCTCACTGCCGGGCTCCACGAAGCCCCCGCAGGCACCCTCGCGGCAGACCCCATGTGTGGATCCAACACTATCATCGAAGGTGGGTGGTGAATTGGTGGGCGAGAGACCCACTCACCAAAGAGGGGCTGATTGACCTAATTTGCTTGTCTGCCTTTCTGATGTCGGTGTGCAGTTGCTACAGCCGAGGAGCCGATTCTGCGGCGGTGCTTCTTCATTGCGGGGGACAGCCAGAGCGTGCCCATCGACAAGACATACGCCAACTTGCAGAGGCTGCCCGCGCGCCGGGCGCGAATCGATGTCGTTCGATGGACTGCCGGTAGGAAGGGCCAGAGGGCTAAGCAAGACTGCACCAGACGACCAGCTGTATGTGTATGTGGGTGTGTGGTTTGTGGCTTGTTGAGAGCGTCTTCCTTTGCGGTCTGATGTTCTCGATGTCATCGTCACTGACATGCCTTTCGGGTCAGCCAACCGATATCTAATAGTTCAATCACGCACGCGTACCTAAAATTGTCTGTCTGTCTGTCTGTCTCCTTTTTGTCAGGAAGCGCCTGTCTTGTGCTGACCAGCTGCGGACGGTGTACCCCCGCTGCCTCAAGGAGTTCCACCGATCGCTCAGCGTAGAGGGCCGTGCCGTGCTGCTGACAGGAGCAGCTTATCGGCTCATCCGTCGCGAGATCGATCGCCAGGGGCAGCTGGGTGCAGAGGCGACACACCCGTGGGTGTGCGTTCGTGACAGTGCCATCAGCATGGGGGGACTCCATCCCGTCGTCTTTGCCCTCAATAAGAAAGCGCGAGAAGTGAGAAGATAGGGCTCCTGAATGAATGAATGCACCCAATGCTTGCAAGTGATGCAGGCAGGCCTGCATGAGGGATGTGATAGATACGATAGCCCCAGTGGGGGGGTGGGGTGGGGTGGGCGTCACAAAGCGAAAGAAGCGGGCGGGGTGACAAAGGGTGATGGATGACCGGTCAACCGACCCGCGAATGGGTCCCTCTCGTACACGAGGGGTGTGGGCATGGACATGTAATCAATGCATGCGTGAAAGACTACTGTGGCTGAATGAATGATTGATTGATGATTGATTGGAACAAATGCTGACTTGACAATGAATCGTTCCAACGCGGATCGCCACAGACACACGCAGTAAGCCCCACAGCGAGTGAGCAACACACACACACACACACACACACATACACACAAGCCATATTTGTCCCTTCTGTCTGTCTGTCTGTCTGACTGGCCAGCAGAGACACAGCCACACCAGCTGCGGTTTACATGACGTTGAAGCGGAGGTTGGTATCGTCTCTGTCCTTGAAGCGCATGCTGCTGTATCGCTTGACGCTGCTGTCACTCTCCTCCAGCACCTGCTGCTGCATGCGAGAATCATCGTGTTCCACGCCGCTGGTCATGGCCACCGACGCCCCGCTCCCACGAAGAGGTGACTTGGGGTAACTCAGAGTGGCGGCCCCGGCGCGGAAGGAATGCGATACGCTGCCCCGACCGGCGCACCTCCCGTGCGCCGGGGACACATCTGGGGACTTGGGCGAGGCCAAATACTCCTGGCCCTCCCTGTCACCCTCGGATGGCATGGGGGGTGCTGCTGTGGGTGCGGGGGAGAGAGTGTCCCTGTCACTGGGGCCAACCGGCTGGAACAGCTGTGACTCCGAAAGCGGTGGAGCGGAGGGAGGGCTGCTCGTCGTCTGAACTGTGGTCGGTCGGGCTTGTAGGGAGCTGCGGCCGAACCGCCACCACGAAGGTGCCGTCTGGATCCTCGAAGGCCTGAATGGATCAACACCACACGCAGGAGTCTCCTTTATCTGTCTGTCTGTCTGTCTGTCTTCCTACGTGTTGGTGTTCTGAGGGGTGGACGGCGCAGGCGGGTGGCTGCCCTTGATGAGCCTCCCCAGTACAGTCTGTGTCTGCCTGGGGGGCTGGTGCGGCCCCTCCTGCTGTGTCTTGAGGTTTGAGGGGCTGGAGGGCGTGGGTGGCGTGGGCGATCCCATCTGAGTGGCGTACGTCAGGTAGATTGCCGCCGATATCGACTTGAGCCTCTCCTGGGTGGCCCGGAGGAGTCGGTGTGAGCACCCGATCCAGAAGACGTTGAGAAGATATATCACATGGAAGCCGCCCCACGCAGAAGCCACCACAATCGTGAAGTTCTGAACGACAGAGACACAGCGGGCTTTGGCTGGTGTGAGAGAGCAGCCATGTCGTGTGCAGGGCCAGCGTAGCGTACTGCGAGAATGTCTTCGTCAGTGGTCATGACGTTGCTGAGGACCACCACCAGGATTACAAGGAAACAAAACACGCTGTACATGTCCACCTGATGAAGACATGTACATTGCAATAATGTGATGTCGCACATGGCCTGGCCGACTGCCTGTCTGTCTGCCTGACCTTAGTGAATACGGATGATCTCGGCAGCAGGTTGGCCACAGACTGCATGAAGGCCGTCATGGCCACCTCGAGAGTCACCAATGTCTGCAGACGCACTCCCACACCCTGCACAACAGACCCCCCACCCCGAGACATCAGCCAGCCAACTCATTCATTGTGCAGCCAGCGTGGTCGAGCACCTCTTCATATGGTATGAAGTTGGCTGCGAAGCAGGCAGAGGTCAGTGTGAACAAAATGAAATACACCTTCCTGACGACAAATTGAGATCAAGACAGCAAAACAACATATGTACATGAGACACTAGCTGGTATGTGTGATGTCTGTCTGCAGGCATGCCTGCCATGCATGTCTCACACACCAGAAATAGAAAGACCATCTCCTCGCCTTTGGACACCAAGACCATAACAAGACACACAAGAATGACCACACGAATGACCCTCGTTTCTCCCCCCATAAGGGACTGAGAGAGAGAGACTGGCTGACCATTGGGAACCAGATGCGTACGTGGCTTCGACTGAGTCCGTCGTCGCCACAAGCCGACCAAACCTCCTCAATGGGAATGCAAACGTCGTTGATCTGACTGAGGGGCGTCCACTCGGACTGGTCGATGTGCTGCAGACGACCGCGGCACTTAGACAGACGGTCACGCAGCAGCTCAGATGAGCGCCGACCCGCCCGCTTGCGGAAGAAGGACGCGTTGCCGCTGTCGCCCAACAGCTTCTCCAGACTGTCGTTGCGAGACGCGCTGCATACACACAGAGACATCGATTCATGGCCATGCATGGATGGATGGACAGACGGACGGACAAGAATCAGACGAAAGGGCATGCAGTCGATAAATTATCGCATAGAGAGGGATGGGAGGACATGGATGCATGCGGACCTTTGCCAGAACTTCTTGTCTCGCTCCTCCTTGATCTTGGCTATATTCGTGTCGTCACTGCAAACAATCAAGCAGTACAGAGACATGTATGTCACCTGGCTGTGTCACAAGCCCTCCGGATGTGTGGTTGCGTACAGGAGAACGAACTCAAAGCAGAAATGCTGGACGTCAAAGGGGAACTGCTTCAGCTGGAAACAGTGGTATATCTGACACACACAGATTTCAGCCAAAGGAAAACGGAGGCACTCATATCATAGATAGGGGGCAGCACAGCACAGGAACCAGAACTCTATCTCCTTTCTGCATGCTCCTGTGTGTGATTGATTACTGACTGTGGCGTGGAATCGTTGTGTCTTCTGCAGCAAGCCCACTGCCGGGTCGACCACCTCCACCACCTTGTTGTATATCAGCAGCTGCTCCGCATTCTTGACCTACACACATACATACACACATACACACATCGCACAGTCCGTCAACGTTGGCAGCCTCATATCATGCCCCCCCACCTCAATCATCGGCACAAAGATGTCTGGTGGTACAAGCTCGGCACCCACAGCCAGCGGGTCAATCCACTGGAACCTGACGTGACGCAGACACAACCATGTGTGGAATAGGAGTAGAGACGTGTTCGTTCAGCATCAGAGACCCACCTGAGCTCGCCTTGCAGATAATATGTCTGCCCCACTGTGTCGATGCGACGCACCTGACCAAACCGATACCTGCTCAAAGCGCACCAAGGGGCACACTTACACGTACGGTGACGTGCCCAGGTGGATTAATGAGGCCTTTGACTGACTGACTGACCTGAAAGTGAGGTATCTGGGCCCCAAGTCCGTGAAGGCCCGCTTGAGTGCCACAGGGGAGGTGGTGGGTGAGGGAGAGGACTGCCGCATGCTCGTTACTGAGGAGGGAAACCTGATATAATGGACCACAGCATAGCACAGCATGCCATGCCTTTCAAACACTGCCCATGTACGCATCCGTACACCCATGTGGCCGTGCGTGCGTGCGTGCGTGCCTGTTTGAGGCCTCTGCCTTGCGCTCCGCCTCTGTCTTGAACGCCTTTGGTAGGGGTCGCGGCGGGCACATGGTCCTTCCCTCATCTGTGTCCAGCCCCAAGCCTCCGGTCAGCGTAGAGCTTCTCTTGCCACGCCAGTGAACGGCGACTTCCACGCTCTCCCTCTTGTTGCCTATCCGCTTCAGCTTCTGACCGTCCTGGTGCGGAGGCCGCGGACCGATGTCTGGGCTGGCCCCCTCCCAGCCCCACCCCTTGGTGTCAGGGTCGCTCTCGGACGAGCGAATGGGTGAGCGAATGCTGTACCTCGGCCGCCATGGTCTCTCGCTTGGCTGGTCGTCATCTTGCGCCTCATCTGGGTGTGCTGATGTGGCAGGCGGGGTTACGGTCACGGAGGGGAATTGGCTGCTGCCTGGATTCCTCCTTCTGAATGGGCTCGTTATCTCACTCGTGGGGCCCTGAATGAAGAATGCACAGACATCACACACACAATTACAAAGGCACGACACCACGTGACAGTGGTATCAGTGAGGCGAGCGCCCAGTTTCGCTTGTTCTTGGCCTTTGATACCAGTGCATATGACGCCATCCCTCGGAGCGGAGAGCTGTCAGCCTTCTCTTTCTCTGTGCTCGAGGAGGACAAACGCATGTGAGAAATGCAGGGAGGGAGGCGATGATATAATACATATTTGAATTTCCGGATCACAACCGACTTGGGGCGGGCGACCGGTTCGACCGTTGTTTGCACCACACATATATTGCGAGGGACCCCGCAGAGATCCAACGTGCATGAGCATGCAGGCCACGTATCAGTGCCACGATGGTCCACCGGCATGCAGCTGTACAACTAGCCATGAAGGCAGGCAGGCTACGAGCGCCCGAGTCGTTTGGCGAGGCTGAGCACCGCCCGCCAGACATCGTCATCATACGGCATGTCCCGCCGGATGTCGTCGAGCGTCTCGCAGCCCATGATCGCCTCCTCTGCAGCCGTCTGGAACCGCAGGGCCGAGCTTCCCTGTTTGACATAGACGTCAACGAGGTGGTGGTACCGACGGGCCGGGGGGACGGACGGCTGGGCGCATGCCGCACCACCACTACCACCAGCAGTAGCACCAGCAGCAACAGACACACGCGGGCTGAAGGCACTGGGTGGGACGGCAGGCGCGCACTCAGCATCCTGTACATGGATGCCAAATGAAGGAAGCCAACACAGATGGATGATACTTACTGGGCTGGGCTCCCGTGGTGTGTTCATTCACGTAGGGGTGCTATGCGAACCTCTTCCGCAGCCAGATCGATTGACTCCACGTCACGAGGGCCGCCGATGTGGGCACCTTTGCTGCCCTGCTGCATGTTGACCTTGCGCCTTGTGTTGCGTAAGAAGCCCTCCTGGAGGTCTGTGAGCATCGGCGGCCCACGACCACCACCGCCTCCCCTGGCTGCTGCTGGTGCTGGTGCTGGTGCTGGTGCTGGTGCTGGTGCTGGGGAGGTCTTGCGTTTGAGCTTCCCCAGCATGGCCGTGAGGCCTCGAATCTCGTGTATGGGGCATTTCTTGGCGAATTCGTCGTCCCAGATGGTGCGGAGGGCCATCTGGATGCGGTGGGCCGACGCAGTGGACTCGGGCAGCACATGCCGCTTGGTGAGCTCGTTGCACATCCCATGACCCAGGAACTTCAGGCAGACATACACACACGCATTCACACACACACACCTACATGGAAGTGATGTATTTGCATACCTTTGGGGGCTCTACGGGTGCCTCAGGGTGTCGCTGCATGAGCTTGAAGGTAACAGCCTGCGTCAGGAAGCCCCTCTCCTCCAGCCGCTTGCTCGCATCCGCCGCGATGCTCGCCAGAAACTTATCCAGGTCGGTATCCGTACTCAGACGCACACCCTGAGGGTGTCGGCGGCACACACACACACACAGGTCGAGCATGGGTCTGTCCGTCGAGCTGTGTGTGGGTCTGTCTCCCTCACCCAGTTGACGGCCACAGAGATCGACTTCTGCGCGCCAGTGCCAGCACCGGAGGCCTCTGGACCACACAAAATGACACGACACGACACAGAATGATAGCTGCCTGTCTGTCTGTCTGTATTCTGCCTGTGTACCCACCCGCCCATGCACCGACCCGACCTGTGCTGCCTATCTGTCGGTTGTCGATGCCATGAGCCGCTGCCCACACACGGGAACCCATCACCTTGCCTACAAGACACAAACACGACAGACACAACATACCCACCAGTGTCGGCCGGCCAGCTACCCAGACGGCCCTTCTACCTCTCTGTTTGTCTGTCTGTCTGCTGTTCCATCTGTTGGCCGACCTACCTACCTAGGGTGGTCACTAGGTCGGTTTCTGTCCGCTGTCGCCGCACGTCCTCGCCTGATCCACCACAACAAACAACAGGTCGTGTCATGTCTGTCTGTCTGTCTGTCTTTGTTCCCTACCGTCCGTCCGTCCGTCCGTCCGTGTGTCTCCCTCCCTCCCTTGCTCCCTTTGCGCTCACATGTGTTGCAGCCGAGACTCTGCAGCTTCTCCAGCATCACAGGACCTGCAAAGAAAGAAATACGATAGCACGCCACGCACAGCAGGATAAGGAAGGAGGGAGGGAGGGAGGCATTGGGCTGTCAGGTGTAGTCAATGCACGGGCATGTACCTACCGATGCCCGGGATGGCCTTCAGTGGGACGGTAGCCATGAAGTCCTTGGACTGTTTGGGCTCCACCAACACCACACCCGACGACCCCTTGTCGGGCTTGGCGTAACTCGCGGCTACCCTGACACACACACAGGGAGCGAAACACACAGGCAGATAGATCAGATTTGTGTGTCGATGGACAGTGCATGCATAGCTATGCGTGTGTGAGTTTGTTGGTTGGTATGTTGCCGACATCACGTCCGTCCATCGATGGGTACCTACCTACCTGGCGATGAGTGGGCTGTCGCCGATCCCAATCGACACCCAGCACTCGGTCTTGCTGTGCACAGAATCACCTACACACACACACACACCAAGATGCGACCGACACGGTCAGCGAGAGGCGTGCTGTGCCTCGCGCTCACGGAGTTGCTTGGCTTTCTGCTGCACGTCGGCGCATTCGTCGTCGCCCACAAGCTGCACCACCGCCTGCATCCAATCACATAGAATGGGGGTGGATTGCACCGCATCAATCACGCACCTCGTCACCTGCAAACAGACAGACAGATAGACAGACAGGGAGAAAGACAGACAGTCATTCGTTCATATCGCCAACCCCCCCGCCCCCCACTGCAGGTGTGTGCGTACATGATAGTGGCTGTATTCTCCTCGAGAGCTGCATCAGGTGTTCGAACAGCACCTCGCTCGTCGACTCGAAGTCATCAAAGTAATACGGCAACACCTTCAACTCGGGACCTGCATATTGCACGGCACACACAGGGGGAGGGAGGAAAGGATAGATGGCCGCCTGTCGGTCGTCGGGGCGTGTGTGTGTGTGTGCGTGTGTCGCTCACACTTCTCCAGTGCCGACGACATGAAGCTGCCCTTGGTCACGCCCCGCTGCAAGTATGCACCCACACCACACAAGCCAGGAAAGGCATCATCCATCCATCCATCCATCCGGTCCCTCGTGCCCTCCCTCCCAAACAGAGTGGTGTTTGTTGACTGACCTGTCTGGCTATGTAGTTGCATGATGATATCTCGCTGGAGCTGTTCGGCCGCGCGCTGCCATGAGCTATCGCCACCTGGCAGGCACCGCACACACATCCCCCCCCACACACACCACACTGCATGCCGCATCTGGCTCCGTACGTATGGGTATGTATGTTAATGCTGTGCGGGCCCTCCCGATTTGACTTACAGGCTCGTTTCTGAATTCGGGGTGTCTTCTGAGCGCAACGCTGGTGAAGAATGCGTCGAAGTCAACGTGAAGGTACAGGATGGTCCTGCGTGCGGTGCTCATGCTCAGCAAACTCAGCTGCGACGGAGGCGGCACGGGAACAAAGGCGTCGAACGTGTACTTGGCCTTCACACGATTCCGAAAGGTCCTGCACAGCACATACACACATGGACGGAGAGGAGAGCCTGCCGCACACCCACAATACGTACACTATGACGGACGGACGGACTACCCGATGAAGTGCAATCGCGATGATTTGAAAAAGTTATCGACAAAACCTGGATCAGTAGCGTCAAGCCGGCCCCTCGACGGCCGGGGCTTCACTGCACGACTCGCACCGGCAGCACCAGCACCAGCACCAGCACCAGCACCAGCAGCAGCAGCAGCAGCTGGTGGCGGTGGAACTGGCGGTGCCGCATCATCGTCTATCTCTATGCGCGCTGAACCATCCTCCTCCACACCACCACCGGCGGCACCACCAGGGGGATTGTCCTTGACGACTGGGGGCGGTTGTGGTTGTGGTTGTGCTTTGGGTAGCTGGAGGAACCCCTTGAGGCTGCCCTGGCCCTGATGATGGAGGATATCGGGCTTGAAGTCTGCCTCCCTCAGCCGCCTGCCGGCCGCCACTGACTCTGCCACCCATGACGACTTGACCACCACAAACTTGGAGGTGGGCTTGTCGCGGTAGTGACGCCAACGCTGATTGCCTGCGTGGACATCCAATCCAGGACAGACAGCAACCAGAGAAAGTGTCAGTCAGTGAACAGGAATAAGTGAGCAAGAAGGAAGGACCAGGCTGTTGTCTTACCCATCGCCAGGTTGTCAGCTACGAGGTGAGTCACGCGCTTCTCCTGCAAGACAACCATTACACCGCGACAGACAGACAGACAGACAGACAGACAGACACGTACGTACGGTACACACATCGATGTACAGACCACATGACATCGGCTGAACTGAAGGAAACATCCTTACGTCGTACTGCTCCTGAAGGACAGACAGACAGAAGAAGTCCGTCAGCCAGGGCTGCTCTGGTGCCTGCCTACCATTTGTCCACCGTGTTGTGTGATGAGTCTCTTGATTTCGAAATCATTCAGCTCCGTGTGGCCATCAATGCGGGCAATCACACCCTTAGCACACACAACAACCGACACCCCCTACACCGACTCCGTGGTGCGGACGATGCAGCCCCGCACTTGCGGTCGAGTGTATTGATTGCATCTATCTGCCTGTCGGTAAGGGTGCTGTGCATGCCATCTGTCTGTCTGTCTGCCTGTCTGTCCGCGCATCCAGCACAGCACCGACCTGGAAGATGTTGCTCTTCATGTCGCCGGCGTATCTTTGGTCCAGCTGCGCCTTGATCTTGTCGTTCTTGTCGCGCATGTAGTCGCCATGGCCGCGCCACAGTCCGCCGCCGAACTCTGTGGAGTACGATCCGCTTGCCATTACTCACACACACTCCTCACCTGCAATCGAATACTCAAGAATTGATTCAACAAAGAGAGCACCGAACCTGTGTGCTTGCGTGAGAAGAGATCAGTCGAGTCCATCTGATGCGCTGTCAGTGTGGAACATGCGCCGATCGAAGGTCTACAGGTGCGTGCCTCCGCCGTACCTCTTTCCATCCATTTTCTCACGGCGTTTCATCACCTTTCACAACCGCTAACCACAGTGCCCTGCTCCTACGGCTGGAAAACGTCGTTTCCTCACTTTCCCATCGTGCGAGCCTGGAGTATTGCGAGCTAATTCGCAGTGCGGGAGATCTTGTCGCCAAGAACGATGTGGCTGATTGCACACTGAAGGTGTGAACTCCCAGCGTCTTTTTCTGGTGTTTGCATCGCTCCCTTTTCGTCTGATCAATCGGTCAAAGGGCGCTCGCCCGAGTGTGTTGAGCTGCCCTGACGTGTGCTGAGGCTGGCTCGTTGTCGACAAAGCGATGCGTCCCAGGACGGCCCTGGTGGTCGGTGCAGGTAGGTTCCACACACACACGAACAGCGTGACTGTGTTGGGGAGTAAGGGAGAGATGCCGGCCGCGTTATGTATGTTATGCATCACTCTTTCTCTCCCTGGGGCAGGGGTCAGTGGCCTCACTGCAGCTCGCTGCCTGCAGGTATGTATGTATGTATGTGTGACCCGTCGCTATCCCCATGGATGGATGTACGTACGAACGTCCCGTGTGTGTGTGTGTGTGCTGGCTGCTGCAGAGGGTAGGTTATGACGTTCGTGTGTTTGAGAAGGCCGCATCATTCGAGGCCTGCCTGGAGCGAGACAGGGGGCTTGGTAAGCACCCCGCACAAAGCGCGATTGTGTGATGAATGGATGGATGGATGGATCGTTCCTTTCTTCCGTTCAGGCATATGGCCCAACGCCCAGCGAGTGTTGGGCTTCCTGGGGCTGGCCCCTGAGCTCGAGCACGCCGCACGATTCGTCCCATCTGCAGCCTACAGAGACAAAACGGTGCGCAGGCAGGCCGACCGACAGGTGTGCACCTACATATACACACATGTGATGTGTGTGTGTGTTAAGGGTTTGTGGCTGTCTCGCGGCAACACCAATGACCCGCTGTACAACCGTCGTGTGGCGGCGCTGCGGCAGTCCCACCTGCTGTCGATGCTTAAAGAAGACAACCTACACCCACACACACTCGAGGTGGGTGAGGCAGGCAGGCAGCCAGCACGGGGGACGGAAGGAATGAAGGACCGAGGGAGGGAGGGAGGGAGGGAGGGAGGGAGCAAGGCGTGCACATCCATCCCACTCACTCCACTCGCCGTACGTATGTGTCGCGTCGCCCGTACATCCGTACATACATACATTGTGTAGGTGGAGTATGGTCGTGAGGTGTCCTTCCTGGAGGGTGCTGCGGTGCCAGGGGCCCCCGGCAATGTGCCCATGAAGCTGGAGTTCCGCGATGGATACGCTGTCGAGGGCGACTTCCTCATTGCAGCTGATGGAATGTTCTCAACAGTCAGGAGGTAGGCAGAATGAATGAATGAAGCGAGCAGTTGCTAGGGAACAAGCTAAGGGAGAGGGAGGCCGGAAACAAAGAATGTGTGGGCCCATCAACCACCCTGTCATCCATCCATCCATCCATCAGGATCATCGCCCCTGGGTCACGTCGAGGTTTCATCCACTACCACGGTATGTCAGCAACACACGCAGGCCGGCCTACACAGACAGACAGACAGACAGATGGGGGGATCGATGGATGCATGAATGGGGCGTGTGTCGCCTGCGCTGAAGCACGCCAGCAGTGTTGTGCCTGTATGTGTGCGTGTGCGTCTGTGCAGGATACCGGTCCATTTCTGGCATTTTGGAGAACTTTTACGACAGCGAAGACGCCGTCGTCGACCCGCCATACGAAACGCTGCACGCCGGAAAAAGGTCGGCCTGACTGACTGACAGTCCGACACCACTGTCTGTCCCCCCTGCCTTCCCTTCCCTGCCCAGACAGAGGGATAGGAAGAGAGTGAGTGTGTGGGTTGGTCAGGTTTGCGGTCATCCCTTTGCCGGGTCGTGCAGTCTTTTGGTTCGCCAGCTTCCCCGAGCCCCCAAGGGGCGGCCATTACATCAGAAACCCTTCTATGTGGGGCACCTGCGACGGTGAGTGCGCGACGAACAAACAACACGACACTACACTACAGCATATCAACAGTGCACAACCACCCGTCCCGTGTGTGTGTGTGACACAGATGATTTCTATCGGTCCTTGCGCGACGAGTACCAGGGCTTCCACCAGCCCATCCCCCAAATCATCGACAAACACCTGGGGGAGAAGCTGCCCATCTGGAGTGAGTAAGGGAGGGGACACACACAAACAGACAACCGAGACTCCCCCCTACACACACGCCCGCCTACCCCACCTACCTACCCCACCGCTGCCTTCCCTCTGCCTGTCTGTCTGTCTGTCTTTGTCTGTCTTTGTCTGTCATGTGTGTCGGTGAATCGAATTAATCGCTTCTGTCTATCACTCAGGCAATTTTCACTTCGAGGATTGGAATTTCAAGTACCAGAAGGGTCGGATAGCCCTCATCGGCGACGCGGCCCACACCGTGACGCCCAACCTGGCCCAGGGGGCGAGCCTCGGCATCGAGGACGCCTGGGAGTGCGCCATGTGCCTCTCCAAGCTCACTGCACCCGACAACCTCAAGATGCTTCAGAAGAAGCAGTTCCCCATGATCACAGCCGACCAACAGGCCGAAGTCGGCCAGCGCCTTGGTGCCTCTGGGGGAGGCAAGGAGGATGACTTCGACCTGGAGGCCCACCACAGGCTCCTGGAGGAGCTGCAGGCAGCCGTCACCCCATCCACCAGGGAGAAAATGCAGAAGATCATGCAACAACACGGAGTGACTCCGGAGAGAGCGAGCTTGCTGAGCGGCGAGGAGGCGGCCTTGCACCAGCTCGAGTCATCGGCGGATGGTGTGTCCGACGTGTCGTCATCGGAGTCCGCACTGACGCCCACAGCAGCCCCATCTGATGGTTTGTCGGAGCAGCTGTCCCAGCCGCCCACTGACCCGGATAGTGTGATAGCCGAGTCGGCGGGTCCCAACATGATCTACCGGGCCCCCCGGTGGTTCGCCAAGAGCATGACCGACATACCTGCACCTGACGACCTCAGAGCGCAGGAGGAAATCAGAAGACGAACCGTGTGGAAACCCGGCGTACGATTCTCACACATCATGTCTGTCGGTACGGGCGGAAATGACACAGCATACATACATACATAACACACCAACTCGGGTCACTGGGTGTCTCTCTGTCTGTCTGTCTGTCTGGGGTTGGTTGTAGATTGGCGGTACACCAAGCCCAGGATCCAGGCTGACGGGAGTGCGGGTGGCAGCGGCAAGATGCCGCTGCCCTTCAGGCGATCTGAGGGCAGGCTCAGCCTCAAAGGACGAAAAGTCTCCGTACCTGTGGGCACAGGGGTGAGTGAGTGACCTCGTGAGACAGACAGACACACGAGGCAGCAAGGAGCCAGTCAGCCAACCACCACCGCCACCTGACCGACCTTTTGTCTGTATGGCTGTACGTACGTACCATACATAACTGTGTGTGCAGGACCACACGCGGGCTCAGATCATCATTTCCAAGAGTTACCGCAACGCGACAGCCATTCCTGTGTGGATGGACAAGACGTCCAAGATCATCATGAAATCAGGGCGGCACAAGAAGACTGAGTATCGATACCTTACCGTCGAAAACTGCCTCCTGGAATTCAACGAAATGAGAAGGGTAGGGAGGGAGGGAGGGAGGGAGGGACCCCATACATAGCAATCTATAGTGCACACACACGACCAGCCGCCCATGTCCTGTGTGTGTTGACTGATTGACTGGCCCGTCTTTCCTCAGCAACGGATATTTCGCCACAGTCGCATGACGATGATCACCAAGCTCATCAGCCACATGCCATTCATACCAGGATGGGAAACTATCAGGTACACACATAGATGGACGGAGATAGCTCATCCGCCCACCGGCTGCCCCACCACTCTGCGAACACGATGTCTCATGTTACACACACTCGCCTGGCCCTTCCTGTGATTAACTGCTTGTCTATCTGTCTGTCTGTCTGTGTGGGTCCACCGTGTGTGTGGCATGGATTGATTGCTGCAGGAATTCGATATTTCTGGCGACGCCAGCTGCGTTGAATTCCTGGTTGTTCGACTGGTTCCTGCACTTTTCCTTGGGTGGCAAGTATCTGCGTCCGACGCTGCCGCCGTCCCACTACATCGACCTGCCCGACCTCTTCGCGGAGGAGTCACGGCTCATCTCGGACACATCTAGTGGTGCCCAAGACACCTCACACGCTGGTGCCAGATGAGTAGTGAGACACACAGACAGAACAGACAGACAGGCGTATAATAGAGAGATACAACCAACGAACGATACACCCGGCTTAGCCGTGGATGGATCGAGACGGCGGGCAGGCAGGAGGCCAGGGAGGGAGGGAGGGAGGGGGGGATGGATCGATGCATGTGGTGTATGTCATGTATCTTGGCTGGATGAGGCCGGCCGGCAGTCCATTTGAGTGAGACAGGGTGTGTCAAAGGGTCTTGATTGATTGACAATGTGTCCCTCTCTGGCCAATGAAGGATGCGTCAAGGCAGTTAGGTTAATGACTGAATCAATGCATGCGCATCATATGTTGGCCCACCGACCAGCCATTGATGGATGGATGCTACAGACAACGTCAGTCAGTCACAGGCATGCAGACAGACACACAGAGGGGAAGGACGGAAGCCATGTATGTATGTATGTGTGTGTGTATGTCACACCCCCTACCCAACTCAAAAACGCACCTCGTCCATTGTCCAACTCATCCAGCATACGCACATCCATCCATGAGTCCAACTCATCGTCCAACTCATATGCTCATCTCAAAAAGCGATGGAGCATCCATCCATCCATCCATCGCTTTGCACTCATTCCCTCATCGATCATATGCCTTGCCTGCAGGCCACGAGTGTGCGTGTGTACGGGTGACTCCATCGAATGCCTTGTGGGGCGTCTTGCTCGCTCAATCCAGTTTGGCGTTCACCAGACGATGGATCTGATCAAGAAACAAATCGGCCAGTATAACCAAGATGCGTTGATGGTTATGTGTGTCTGGCTGTGGCCGTGTGTGTGTGTGTTGTGCGAGCTGACCTGGCAGAGGAAGTCGACATAGCTGGCCTCCCCTGACACAGGGTCCTCCACCAAGCGGCAGCTGAACCGACCCTCCTCACCTGACCTGCATGGCAACCGATGGCATGGATGTGTGTGTCAGTCGATCAATGCCGGGGGGGCGATGTATGGTGTCTGTCTGTCTGTCGATGTGTGTGAGAGTGTCTAGGTACCGTACCTACCTTGCTGGGATGATGCGTACAGGTACATGTGGGTGGCTGCCCTTGAGGGCTCTGAGGTGCTGCACAATGCGCCTCTCGATGCAGTCTTTGCCACCAGCAGCAGCCATGCCGTTGCTGTACAGAGGTGACGCCTCACCATCGACACCCACACTCCAGTACACGGGCTCCTCCACCTCAAGACCCAAAAACTGACCGACCCATAGATGGATAGATGACAAATCGGCCGGCAAGTGGATGGAGACGACTATGTGCCGTCCGTGTGTGGTGCTTACGTGTGTGACGTAGGAGGGCCTGACATCGCATCCGACGTAGATGAGGAAGTGCTCATCATCATCCATCAAATACACACCTGGCCGACACATCCCGTACACACAGCCACGCAGAATGCGAGCTGAGCTGCTTGGATTAGTGTGTCCCTCCCTCGCGTCTGAGTGCGTCTGACCGTCAGATGAGACCTTCTCCCCCGTCGATGCTATCGTGGGCGGCAACAGCGAGCTCGCCTGGTGGGTGGCACGCAGACCAATCGACGACACACACGGATGGATGTATGTATGTATGTGGTTGGTTGATTCGTGAATCAATTCAGTACCTTGATGGCTGCCTCGAGTTTTCTGTCGTTTGTGAGGCTGCGGTGCAGACACCTCAGGGCCGGATAGAGCGACAGAGACGACATCGACACGGGCAGACGCTCGAACCGCATCAGAAAGTACACCTGAAGGAAACACACACGTCATGAGTCAGTCAGACACGATTTATCATAGACGCAACAAAGCAGCCAGGCGGTCAGCCGGCGGGTGGAAGGAATGTGGAGTGGTCAATGAGCGTGTTGCAGCGTACCCTTTCGTCGGCTCGCACCTCGCTCTTGCCCCTGAACGCCTGCAGCACCCACCACACAACACACATTCGCAGGCAGGGAGAGAAGAACGCCCGCCCAGGAGTCAGTCAGTCAGTCAGTCCCTGCAGTGCAATGCAATCCCTTTTGCGTGTGCACCGTACAGCGTGTTTGAAGAGAGCCATGACGTAAAGGGGCAAGAGTTTGAGTGACTCTGGGAGTATGAGCTGGCCGGCCGTAGTGGACGTGGCGCAGTGCAGCCGGTAGCTCAGCAGCATGTCCACACACATGTTCAGCAGATCTTCACGGTAGTGACCCACACCGTGCATCACGCCGTGAGCCGACATCCTACACACCAAAGAAACACACACAGACACATGTATAGACGCCGAATAGGCAGGCCATCTGCTCTCCTTGCTTCGCTTGTGCTGTCTGTGGGGATGGGATGCAGTCAATCATACTTGCTCGTCTCCGTCACTGTAGCTATGTGTGTATGCGTGTATGTACCTACCTGGTGAGTACGTTGATCAAGCAGTCGATCTCCGTGTACCGAAACACCGAGCCTAAGGCAACGCAAACCACCCACCGGTGACCCCCCCAAGAAGGAAGGCAGGAAAGGAGTCCAGTCCGTTCACATGAGGTGAACCGGTGCATTCATTGCATTCATTGTCTGTCTGTCTCTCATAGGTCCGGTCCGTGTGTGGCCGTGAGGTACTTAGCGAGGACGTTGTGGGTGTGGCCAGGGTGATGACTCGGATCATTCGCTGCCCCTTCATGTTGGTGTACAGGCCTGATCATGTCACACATACACATACACACAGCCGATTCACTCGCTATGCGATGTATGTGACACACAGCGCTCCCTATCAGCGACCTACAAGCGCATTGGAGGTACACATGCTTCTGCTGATCAAGCCTACACACACCACAGCACAGTAAAGCACAGCACAGCACAGTCCAGCATAGCACGGATGGATAGATGGTCGTAGCTAGCTGCGTCGTCCGTCCGTCGGTCCGTCGGTGTCAGTCGCCTTGTCACCTGGCCTACCTGTCGTCGTGTTTGAGGAGGAATGCGACGGCGGTGTCGGGGTGAAGGCGGGGTATTGCGAATGAAGATGCATCAAGGCCATGTTTGGCACTCCATGGGCCGTAGAACTTAGACACGGCGAGTCCTTTGCTGGTCCTGAGCTTGAAGATGCAGTTGAAGCCAGAGGGAGCGAGTGTGCGTATGACGTCCCTCTTGATCCTCTCAGGGTCCCTGTCGGTGGAGGTCTGGGTGTACAGGTGGATGTGGCCGCCCGTCACATGCGCTATGTGGCCCAGGCTGGCCAGGTCGATGAAGGCATTCGACGGCGGCTGACAAAACACCTCCACTCCCACACCCGTCTCATAGCAGTGCTTCGCAAGCTTGTCGTAAAACGCTGCCTGAACCGACCAACCAACAAACCAACCAATAAACCAGCACGGAAGGAAAAAAGGAAGGAACGAACCAAAGAAAAAATGCAATTCAAGCAGGGGAGAGATTCACATAAAACCAGCGGTCGATGGCTGGCTGGATTATGCAGTGTCCCTCGCTCTTTAGTTGCTCTCTCACTTGCCTGTTGTGGTTGGAACATGACTTTATCGAGCTTCTGCGATCCGTGTTCGGTAGAAGTCCCTGCTGCGCTTGATGGCGGCGGGGCCGACCCACTGGTGGGGGCGGATGTGGCTCCCGAGACCGCCGATGAGCTGCCACTGCTGCTGAAGGCATGGATGTGCTTGAAGTCCTCACGCTTGTTCAACGCACCCACACCTGCGTACACACACAGTCCGAGACAAAGAGGGCGAGGGACAAACGAACAGACAGACAGGGGTGGGCTGCACTCATCGTACGTATGTACAGAAGTCGACGCGCGTGCATATGTGCATGCGTATGCGTACCGACGTCTGGGACGGAGCAATAGTACTGCATCACCACCCCCCCGCCTCGCGCTGCCAGCAGATCCACTGCGGCCTTGGATCGATAGGATCGACAGACGGAGAGAGGGAGGGAGGGAGGGAGACACGACACCAGCCACAAAAATCAATCACACACACGTATATATATACATACAAGTAACATAGTTCCATCGATGCGCATCGCATCGCATCGATTGCATTGCATCCCCCCGACCACCCAGCCACCCACCTTGAGTGCAGCGTTGCCCGCTGAGTGAGAGGCTTTGGAATCCTGAGCGCGCTCCAACACGGAATCCAACACCTCCACAATCTGGTGGATGGGATGCATGCCACCACAACAACAAAAGCAAGGGTGCCGTCCGTCGTACACCACACCACACCAGGTGGGAGGGAGGAATGGATCGATGGCTGGCTGGCTGGCTGGGTGGCTGGCTGGACGGCCCGATGGGTCCTTCATTCATTTGTGAATCACCCACCTTGTCATGGTTCTCCTGCACGTTGACGCATAGCACATCTGTGGGTGCGGGGAAGAATGGGTCATCTTCGACGTCCCCCACGCACATCATCTGATTCTTGGCCGTGAACAGACGGTCCAGTGGATAAAACGTCAGGCAGTGGTCGAACGTCACTACCGCCACCTGAAACAACCAACCAACCAGCAAATCAACCAACGCCATACACACAGACACGGAAGGGAGGGATATCGGTGAATGGACGAATGGATGGACCAATGAGGAACAAGGCAGGCAGGCAGGCAGGCAGCAGGACATGTACGTACGTACGTGTGTGTGCATCTGTCTGTCTACGTCTGCGACCTTACCTCTGATGTGACGGCGGGCATGTGCTCAAGGGCACATTTGACGCTCTCGATGGCCTGGTGAAGGAAACCTGCATGGAAACCGACACGGTTAGAATATCTGTGGCAGGCACCTCACCTGCCGTGTGCTGCTTTGATTGATTGATTGATGAGGTCATGTGTGTGACTTGCCTGTGACAGCTGACATGAATGTGGTTTCAATGACGAAGCAGAATGCAGGGGGCTGGGGGATGCCATCCGAGTACTCAGCTGGGGCCACAAAATCAACGGTACCCTGTGAGTGCGACACCCACACCACACCACACCCAGGCAGATGGGCGTACCGACAGACACACAGACACATCAACGTGCGTACGTCCATGCCCATAGGGTTTGTGTATGTATACCTTGAGCAGTTCGGGTCTTTCCATGATGTCCCGTCGCCTCCCAAACTCGTCGAGCACGCAGGAATACCACTGTGGCAACTGTCGGGTGGTCGACAAGCAGAGTACACACAAACAGAGAGACGGACGGACGGACGGAAACATTAGATAGATGCCTGCGCACGTCTCGGTCTGGCTTTCTAGTTGAGGTACCTGGAAGACATGTCCGCAGAGGTTGCAGCTGCACTCCCTGCCACCTGCCGAGCTGGCCATGAAGGGGTTGACGTACGCCCGACACCGGGGACACCTCACGGGACCTGGTGCACCGCTGCTCGTGGTTGTGTTGTTGCCCAGACCTTCGGATGATGATGCACTGAAGTCTACCTTTGAGGATACATCACATCCATTCATCCACAGATAGATATATGGGTACCATCCCATCCAGACACAAGACACACATGCCACGCATACATACAAGAAACGCCATCCGTTCATTCCTTCGTCGTTGGCTGCCCTGCAAGCAGGGCCCTGCCTGTCCGTTGTTGGTGCCTGACCACTGGTATCTGCTCTTCTGTCGGGGCCAGCTCGGCAAACGGCTGAACCACACACCCTGAAAAACAAACACACCCCAACAGACAGCGTGCCACCCAGGACAGTAGACGCACACCCGAAGACCGGTGCGCAGTCGTCCATCTGCCTGTCTGCCTGTCTTGCCTGCCTGCCTGCCTGCCTGTCTGCCTGTGATGTATGTATCTATCATACGCAGGGACTGACTGACTGCCTCGGTCGCCCACCTATGGGTATGTGCGATGTTGCAGCCGTCTGGGAAAGTGCCGGGATCTGCACAAATGTATCAACGACAGGACGACAAGACGGGCAGGTTGACACGCAAGCAGCGATGTTGCTCCAGACTGTGCTGTGCGGACACCTGCCTGGTTGGTGGTCAGCCGTATGAAACGACAGGATGCCGACCCTGAGAGAGAACAAAGGAAGGCAGTAGCAAAGCAAGGAATGAATGGCAATCCACCGGTCGGCCGATTGCTGTCTGTCTGTCTGTGTGGCTACCCGCCTCCCTCCCTGAGTCATGTGTGGCTGTGAGCGACGCCCTACCCTACCCCTGTCAATGACTGTGTAGCTGCTCGTGGCGGGAGGAGGTAAGGTGTACTTGTCCGTCTCGTACCTACACGCAGACGGATGTAGACAGACAGACAGTTACATGTTTGTATCTCGATGGGAACGGCCATCGGTGAGGTGAGCTCCGATTCGCAAGTACTGATGTCTGTAGGCTGTGGCGCCCGAGTCCATACTCCGTACCTTTTGCCTCCCTCCACGGGTAAGTCACTTGGACCTGTGGGCCTGGGAATCTGCTCGGGATCTGTCGCGAGAGCACAAGCAAAGAACAAGTTCGGACCATGTGACAATTACATGGACAACCTCCCCAGTGTGTGGTGTTGTTGGATGGCATTCCCGGTTCCATTCATTCATCCATCTTACCTACCAATTCTGCTAGACTGGTGTCTGGTGAGTGTGGTGGGCGCCCGAGTGATGCCTGCTTGCCTGTCCGCCCCTTGCCTTGCTGTAGGCGAGGGCTGGGATGGCTCGTGCCTTGCTGCGCGGGAGGATCTTGGCGCAGGGGGGGGCTGGTGCGTCCAGGGGCCGCCGGCGGGAGGGGAAGGGGCCATCTGGGTGGGTGTCAGGGTGTAGGGATGCGGGCCTGACACACAACAACAAACACTATACTACACGTGATTATGATCATCTCGTGTAGCTATCTCAGCGCACCCACCGGGCAGAGGATGCATCGCCCTGGTCAGGAAAAATGTCCACTTTCTCCACCTGGCTAAGCTCGCAGATCTGGAAGGGGATCGAATAGATCTTGTTCCAGCGGATGGAGGCCGCTGTCCCCGGGTAGAGAGCAGCCAACACTGGACCTGTAAGCACCCATGTGTTTGGGGGGGAGGAGCCCAGTGCGAGCTAGTGGGAACAAACACGCGAGTGATTTGCGGACACAACAGGGTGTGCGACGCTGGATCTGTAGGAGTAAGGGACGGTAGGCACAGACACAGATAGATCCACCACTGGACGTTGTCTGTTGTCTGTGCCTTTCTCTAGTTTGGCTTGACACTCAGCTGACGGCTGTCATGCTTGTCTGATGGAGCACCTGTGCCTGCACACGAGGCAGGCGCCGAGGCTGACTATGCGGGCTTATGACGCTGATGAGCTGCTCGTGCGGAGAAGAGGCACTGCGGTACAGAATGGCGTCAGTAACGGTATTGACGGGAGGGTGGGCCAGCCCGACGACCCATCCAAGAGGGCCGTGCTGGAGCGCATGCTGGTCAAGGAACAAGTGGCGACCCGTGATGACGGTCAACTAGCTGATCCATTGGCAGATCGGCTGGTGTCGGGCCTGGCGAGTGTTTGGGCCGACGGGCGTCGCCGTGACCGCGACGAGGGAGACCTGCCAGAGAGGGTCCCAGCGCAGAGTGGTGAGCTGAGCTGGATAGAGGGCGGGGGAGGGGAAACAAACAGGGAACGAGGCACCACGCGGAGATAGCTGTAGTTGGCTGTTCTGCAGATACTCCTGTCCGTTTGCTGGCTGCAGGTGTTGCTGGCTATGAGGCTCTGTTGAGATGTCCTGCCGAGGCCAGCCCTGTGCCCAGCGACGCGGCTGATATGGAATCCACCGCCGGTCAGATGCGTTGGCTACGCCAGACTGTCACTCACCATCTGAAGCAGCGCGGAGCTGGCAACGAGCCCGCTCTGGCACAAGTCAAAGGTCGGTGAATGACTCACCCGCGGAGGCTACCGCCGAAGACAGACTGACCCATTTGGCTGGTCCCTGCTGTGTACCAATTCTGCATGCATTCTGTCAGATTTAGTGTCAAGGATCATCGAGGTTCTCTGCAGTGACATGGCCGATGAAGCATTGCAGGTAGCCCAATGCGCGCCATGGGGAATGCATCCCTTCCTCGCTGTCTGACGCCATCTGTAGGGCACCATGTTGGACCTTCTGGGTATCGAGGGCATAGAGACAGCGGCTGACATTTTGCAGAAGCGGCCCGTGATGCTGGTCATGGTTGACGCACTCCGGGAACAGGCGATCAGCAGGCTGCCGCAAGACAGAAAGACAAACCGGAAGCCCATCACACAAACGCCACAGGTGAGCGCTGAATACGTGCTGAGAGCTCTCATCGCACTCTCCACCCCAGCACCAACTGCCTGCCTCCCTGTGGGCCTGCTCTGCAGTTCTCAATCCGTTCGGAGTCCGACTTGCGAAGGATGAAGCAAGAAAGGAAAGGAAGGGGTGAGCTGACCTGACCTAAAGGACCACAACGACGGCTCCATACTTGCTACTTGCGTCAGGGACGAGACCGCATCTGTCCTCGCTAGAGATCCTCGAAGCCACAGGTCAGCCGTCATCAACCACAAACGACAACACCCGGCTTGCGGTGGGTTTCAGGCTTCGATCAACAGTACCTCGCTGAACAGACTCTGGGCAGTGCGAGAGGTGGACTCAAGATGCTGTCGCAAACTCTAAAGGCCGTCGGCCCGCCTGCCTCAGCCAGGGGTGAGAAGCCATCCGAAGCGCTTGTAACGATCCCTCCTGTTGCTGTCGACGCCTGTCATCACTGTGGCTCAGATGCTGGACGGGGAGCGGGACTGAGGATGGTCTTGCCAGAAGGAACAAAACGGACACAAGGGTATGAAGTCGTGTCTCTTCAGTATACGTCCTCGCACGCGTGATACACCCCCTGGTGAATGTGCGATGTCTCCGAAAAGGTTTAAGTACGAAGAAATAGACGTTCCTGCTCCGAGAAAATCTGAGGTGAAGGCAGGTCACTGTTAATCGCCCTCCACCCTCGTACATCTGCGCGCCTCTGTACCAGGCACCGAGAGGCAAGCTTGTGCCTGTCGGGAGTTTGCCTGAGTGGGCCCAAATGGCCTTTGAGGGGACAACACACCTCAACACCGTGCAGTCGATCGTGTTCAACAAGGCATTCGGGAGCACCTCGAACCTCTTGGTTTCCGCGCCTACTGGGGCTGGCAAGACCAATGTAGCGATGCTGACAATCCTTCAAGCGATTGAGGCGAACAGGGATGCATTCGGTGCTGTCCTATCACCCAAGGAGTTCAAGATGGTCTACATTGCTCCCATGAAGGCCCTGGTTGCCGAGGTGGTCGAGAAGTTCTCATCCCGCCTTGCACCGCTTGGTTGGAAGGCAGTTCACCATATCAGCATCGGGGCCCATCTGGTGTCTCGGGTACACGTGGTGTGTCTCCGTGGCTGTATCAGGCATCGAGGTCAAAGAGATGACTGGAGACATGCAACTCACTCGCCAGGAGCTGGAACGAGTCCATCTCATCGTGACAGTCCCGGAGAAGTTTGTAAGCATCACCCTTTCATGGAAGCCCTCCGAGTGGATGGCGTGTGTGTGCACACAGGATATACTTACTCGGAACACGGCCACAGGGGCTGGTCGGGAGGATTCGAGCTTGATGAGCAAGGTAAGGTCGACACATGATGTTACACGGATCACTCTCCGCAATCAGTACCTGGGAGACATCTGCAGGTTGCTTTGATCATCATTGACGAGGTGCATCTGCTGAATGACGACCGTGGGCCGGTCATCGAGTCCATCGTCGCTCGAGCAAAGAGATACATGGAGACCTCGGGCGCTTTCATTCGGCTCGTCGCCATATCGGCAACACTTCCTAACTGGTAGGGGCCGATTCCGACGAATGGATGGGTACGACACGACAAGCCTGTGTGCCTTGAGGATCCAGGACCGACGTTGCTCAGTTCTTCCACGTTCCGGCCGATCATGCATTCCATTTCGACTCGTCCTACAGGTTAAAGGATCGATGAAGAAGGATAGATAGATCGACCCAAAGGAGCTGATTCGTTCTGTGCTTTTGTCGTGTCCGTTGATCAGACCCATTCCATTGCAGCAGACATTCATCGGGTGCGTTCGTCTGCATCCCTTTCGTTCGTCTGGATCCCTTTGTTGACATTTTCTTGCTCTGTGCTGTCTGCAGCGTTGCTGAAAAGGATCCACAAAGGGTGCGTTCGTCTGCATCCCTTTCGTTTATCTGGATCCCTTTGTTGACATTTTCTTGCTCTGTGCTTCTGCAGCGTCTTCACCGGATGAACGAGCTCTGCTATGAGAAGATCAAGGTCGTTGAGCACCGTCCAATCTTTCATTTTGATCCTTTGTGTCGCCGTACAGGCTGCGATTTCCAGCGGACATCAGGCAATGGTCTTTGTCCACTCGCGAGGAGACACATACACAGCAGCGAAAGCGTTAATGGAGATTGCGTCGGCAAAAGGCGACCTCGAACGATTCCTTGACCACGAGGCATGTGTGCACTAGACCAATGTCACATTTAACATTCTTGCTACCATTCACATGCTTTTGTTTAGAATCGGGCTGACATCGTTCGTCGCATCCGCTCTCCTCAGGTTTTAGAGCTAGTCCCGAGCGGTTTCGCAATGCATCACGCAGGCATGTTGAGGAGTGATCGCTCAAACGTCGAAAGGTGCAAGGATAGGGTCGGCTAGACACAGGAGGCAGAAACGTTGGTCCCCGTCAGGCTCTTTATGACGGGCTGTATCAAGGTCCTGTGCTGCACGGCGACCCTGGCGGTAAGAACAGTGAAACAGAGTTTGTTTTTCTTCTGTATCACTTTTCTCACTTTTTGCTTGAAGTGGGGAGGTACGCACAAGCTTTCACGACCGACGCGCAGGCCTTTTTGTTCGCATGTTTTTTGTTTCCTCAAAAGTTAACCTGCCGGCGCGGACCGTCGTCATTCGTGGTTCTTCTATTTTCGACTCCAAGCACGGAGGCTTCCGAGACATAGGTCAAAAAAGGAGAGAAGTCATTGAAGTGGCTTAATGTTGGGTTTTGATGCAGATGTTCTGGACATTCTTCAAGGTATATACAGTCTACATTTACATTTGTACAGTGTCTTGATCGTCGACTGGCTCAGTTTTCGGGAGGGCTGGCCGCCCGCAGTTCGACGACCTCGGCCATGCCGTCCTCATTACATCTCACGACAAGTTGGACAGCTATCTCATGAAGATAAACAACCAAGTGAGTCGGATGGCGTTGACTTCAGCCTCTCATCCAGTATCTGTAGATTCCCATCGAGAGCAAGATGCTTGACAACATGTGCAACGCCCTCAACGCCGAAATCGCAATGAACAACATCGCAGACATCAACGATGCCATTGACTATTTGGGGTATACGTACCTCTTCGTCAGAATGGCCAGGTGCCGTAGATGTCACTGTGGCGTAAATACATTATTTCATCATCGCCCGTTTCCATTTTGTCCAGAAGCCCGCACGTGTATGGCATCAAACCAGAGGAGCTTCTTCACGATCCTCATCTCATTGCAAAGCGACGGGACATTGTGACATCGGTAAGAAGCCTGCAGCCGAAAAACGCTCTTCACTTCTACTTGCATCCCAGGCTGTCAAGAAGCTGGACGCGAACAAGTTACTGCGGCTCTCCAATCAACAGCTGGCGCCCACAGCCATCGGAAGAATTGCCGCGCGATACTACATCGATTACGAAACGACGTGAGTTCGTGAGTCGCGACAACGTCGTGCCGTCCTTCTCAACCTACAATGGTGTGTTTGTTTTGTCTGCCCGTCTTGTCTGCCCGTCTTGTCTGACCGTCTCAAGGGGAAAGTTTGTGGAATTGCTGGCGGCACGTAAGGAGATGACAGACGCCGAGCTGCTAGAGTTATTTGGCACGGCTGAAGAGTTCGCTCAGCTCAAGGTACAGGTGTTTGGAAACTGAATGAGAATCTCGAAACAAACAATGCAGGTCAGGGAGGAGGAGCAACAAGAGCTTGGCGACATCGCAGAAAGCTGCCCTGTAAGAGTGCGTGGTGGCCCTGAACACACCCACGGGAAAGTTGGTCTCCTCCTTCAAGCTTATATCAACAGGTAGAACACGAAGCTCCGGAGCCGCAAACCGATGACATTCGAATTATCGTGCAGGATAGCAGTTTCCTCCTCTAGTCTCGTTTCAGACTTGAATTTTGTTCAGCAGGTTCTCGTAGAAGGAAAAGATCAAGGACATCAGCGGTTACTGTCTTTGTCTTTGCATTGCTACTCTTTGCTAATGTCGGTCCTCAGAGTGCAAGCAGAGTGATGAGAGCTATGTTCGAGATCACCCTGACAGAGAATGTCCAGAACTTTGATGTTGCCCCGAGGCTCCTGGAATGGTGCAAGATGATTGACAGGTGAACCAGGGAGCCTGTCAATCATCTCAACGTGAATTCTGTTCCTTTCCCCGTAAGGCGCCTTTCGGTCGAGAGACACATCTTGCACCATTTCTGCTCGCCGTCGACAATCGACCCTCACCACTCACGCATGGCTGCCTTCCAAGATGTGCGTGGTCTGCTAAAGCACGAGCTCGTCCATAAGATTGAGCACCGGCGACTAGACCTTGACCGGTCAGTTTGAAACCAACGGCACAGATTGCTCTTGTAAGAGAAGCGGCTCTGTCTGCGCAGAATCCATGACATGACTGCTGGAGAGCTGGGCAACGTTCTGTCTCTTCCTGCAGCTGGGAAAGTCGTCTTTGACTATGCCCGGAGGTACAGCAGCCGTGTTGGTTTCTGACACGAATTGCAGTTGGTCTTGTCCTGCAGGATTCCCAGTCTGAACATTGACGTCAAGTTGCAACCAATCGCGATGACCATCGTGCGCATCACTGCCACGATTACGGCAGACTTCAAGTGGACCGATACTTGGAGTGGCGTCGCCGAGCCTTTTAAAGTCTGGGTTGAGTATTGGGACGCAGAGGGTGGCTGCACGCAGAGGTTGCATTCAGAGGATTTCACTCTGCTGAAGAAGGATAGGTAAGAGAAAAAGGTGTCTTCTTGACGTGCTCTTTTTTGATTGATTGTGCTCTTTTTTGATTGGAAGGAGTGAACAACAAAGCCTGAGTTTTGCAGTGCCTGTTCCCGACAACAAAGCCCTCCAGTACACACTCAAAGTCGTCTCGGACAGGTCAAAAGGAAATGCGGTCTTCTTTTTGTTGACTCATTGTCTGTTGTGCCTTACCTTCAGATGGGTGGGCCTATCGTTTGAGAAGACCTTTACACTGCCACGGTCGAATACATCGCGCATCGGTCACAAGACGACTTTGTTGCCCTTAACTCCATTGCCGGTGACGGCGCTCAACCACTCTGCATACGAGAGCCTTTTCCGATTTCCGACGTTTAACCCGATCCAGTCACAGGTCTTCCACGCAGTGTATCATACGTGAGCAAAGAACCGGGAGCAGCGATGTACTTCCTCATTGATGTATTCATCCCGTCAGTGATAACAATATCCTCCTGGGCGCGCCGACCGGCAGCGGCAAAACCATCGTGGCAGAGCTCGCAATGTTTCGCGTGTTTTCGCGCAATCCAAAGGCCCTGGTCAGTGCTTTATTGCAGCTTCCACAGTATCGTCTTCTTCTTTCTTTCTTTTCTTTTCTTTCTCTCTTTCTCTCTCTCTTTCTCTCTCTCTCTCTCTCTCTCTCTTTCTCCCTATCTTGTTCTTTCCCGCAGGTCGTTTACGTTTCGCCGTTAAAGGCTCTTGCACGAGAGCGCATGAAGGACTGGTCTGCTGACTGAAAGATTGACCAACATGTGAACATTCTGCTTTTTCTATCAGGAGCGAACGAATCGATCGTCAACTCGGTAAAAAGGTCCACGAGTTGACCGGTGATTTTACTCCGGACATAAGTATACTCGACAAGGCCGACGTCGTGGTCACGACACCAGAAGTAAACATACAACATCGCAACCGTTTTCCCTTCCGCAAGGTTTCTTCTTCGGCTTTAGAAGTGGGACGGCATCAGCAGACAATGGCAACATCGCGACTACGTTCAGAGGTTGCTCAGAACTAGAGCATTCGAAAACCGCACATTTCGTTCTTCGTCGTTTCAGGGTTAGCTTGGTCGTCATCGATGAAATCCATCTTCTTGGTCAAGGTGGGCAAACAACTTTTTGACGGGCTAAGAAGCCATGCGTATGGATGCCTACTGGTGCCTTTCATCGCCGCTTCTGCGTCTTTTCTTTTTCATGCAAGACCGAGGACCCGTTCTCGAGGTAGACTGGCCAAAACGGACGGCGTTCGCTTTTGCTTTTCGGCTTTTTTTGACAGGTCATTGTTTCGCGAATGCGATATATATCAACTCAAACTGACAACGCAATTCGTTTCGTGGGCCTGTCCACCGCTCTTGCAAATGCCGAAGACATTGCAGACTGGTAGGTGGATGACCACATACTTTTCCTTGATGTTTTCCGTGAAATTCACCCTATTGGTTGGAAAGGCTGGGAATTGGCACGGTTGGATTGTTCAATTTTCCATCCGAAGTTCGGCCGGTTCCCTGTGTACAGCTCCACACACAGCTCCAAAGGCAACACCCAGCAGGCAATCCTCTGCCAACGTTTGTTCCTCAGATTACCCACATCGACGGTTTCAGCGAGAAACACTACTGTCCACGAATGGTTGCGAATGATCTAATTACTGCGACTTATTCAATCTGCCTTTGCTTTCAGGCAACAATGAACAAGCCATGCTACCAACGAATCAAAGAACTCAGCCCTGACCGACCAGTAATGTTGCACCAGTTGTCCCCGTTATCACTGTTATCATTTCGTCACCGTCATGTTCCGCTTTTGTTGGTCAGGTGCTGATCTTTGTCTCGTCACGTCGGCAGACTCGGATAACAGCATTGGATTTGGTTGGATTGTGTGGGTCTGACGACGAGAGGAACTTCTTCCGCTTCCGGTGGATGAGTGACGAAGAATACAACTATCACCGGGCGAGAGTAGGGAAAAGAACGGTTACGGCAATGAAATTTGTTTTCCCTCGTGATTTCCAGGTACGTGACGAGAGCTTGCAGAAGGCATTGGAGCATGGCATAGGTAGGAATGATCAAACTATCGTGGTCGAAAGCTAAGCGCTTCTCTCGTCTCACACAGGAATACACCACGCAGGGTTAAGTGAGAAAGATAGGAAGGTTGTTGAAGAGCTGTTCACCGACAAGAAGATCCAGATTCTTGTGACAACCGCGACATTGGCATGGGGTAGGCCAATACCAGAGAAGGTTCGCACGATTACTAAAATACGGCTTTGCTGTCTTTGTAGGCGTGAACTTCCCTGCTCACCTGGTCAGCGCATGCCATTTCGCAACTCATCTACTGTACTAATGTATCGCAGGTCATCATTAAGGGCACCGAGTACTACGATGGAAAACTCAAACGCTACGTCGACATGCCAATCACCGATATCCTGCAAATGATCGGACGCGCCGGAAGACCTCAGGTACACAGGGATTGGGTTATTGCATGCGCTTCTGCACCGGCAGCGATATGTTTTTTCGGTCTTTTAGTTCGACACAAGCGGCCAAGCGTGCATATTCGTCCACCAACCAAAGAAAAGTTTCTACAAGTGAAATTTGTTCGGAAGTGACTGGAAAGCGCTGTGAACTTGTTTCCTTGTCGATTCTGCAGGAAGTTTCTGCATGAACCCTTTCCGGTCGAGTCCTCTCTTGCAGATCATCTTACCGGTAATAGAAGAGACTCAATACGCGATTCATCCGCATCCTTCACATTTTCCACTGTAGATCACCTGAATGCTGAGATTGCGGCCGGGACGGTGACGTCGAAGGCCTCAGCGCTGGAGTACCTGAGATGGACGTACTTCTTCAGGCGTCTATGGGCAAACAGGCAAGGAAAACACTTTTTGTGTTTGAGGGAAGTGTCAAACTCGTGTCTCTTCTTTTCTTCAGCGCGTACTACGATCCGCAAGCTTCGATTGAAATGGAGAAGCATCGCAATGACCCCAGGTATTCAATGTTTTGTAGGTAGGGCTGACTCATGTCATGACGTGAGCACACGTGTTTTGCAGGGCACTGCGCCAGCATGTCTTTGACTACCTTGAGCGCATCGTCGAAGGGTGTCTTTCCAACTTGACGAATGCCGGCTGCGTCAGTTTTGCCGAGGACGGGACGGAGTTGAGGATTGAGGCGACACGACTCGGCCGAACTGCTTCGCTTCATTATCTGAAGCATGAGACCGTGTCCCTCTTTCAGCGAAGCATGAGGAGAAAGGAGAGACTTGGCTGGGCTGACGTTCTGAAGCTCCTTTGCGACTGTGCCGAGTACTCCGAGCTTCCTGTGCGTCACAACGAGGACAAGCTGAACTTTGACCTCGCTGAGCTATGTCCTCTTGACGCCGACCTATCTGCAGCTGACTCGCCTCACCTGAAGGCTTTCCTTCTCGTTCAGGCGCATGTCTTTAACTTCTGCGAGTTGCTTCCGATTTCCGATTACAACACGGATCTAGCGGACCTTCTTGACCAATCTCTCAGGATTATGCAGGGAATGTCGGACGTCGCTGCTGAAGAAGGCCATCTGACCTCTTCCCTCAACATCATTCTGGCCCTTCAATGCCTCATGCAAGCAACCACTCCGGCGCGGTCCTCTCTTTATACATTTCCCCACCTGCGACAGGAGCACATCCGGCAGCTCGACGCAGGAGGAATCAGTCTTGCCAAGGCGAGCAAATTGACACGGTTAACAACTAATTCACTGCCCCTCTGTTTTTGTCATCTATATAGATGGTTGAGATGGAGCAAAAACAGCAACGTGAAGCACTCCAGACATTACGTCCGGGGCTAACTTCGGAGCAAGTCACAGATGCTTGCAAGGTCACTCACTCAAAGTGCATGTCCTCTTTGGTGGCACGGCACACTGTTGAGTCTTTTCAGGGCATAGGGCAGCTACCGCGGCTTCGAGTTCACGTTGAGTTGTTTTGCGAGGGCCAGCTCTCGAGGCCTCCGTACCACGTCTCTCCAGATTCGTCGCTCGAAATCAAAGTCCGGCTCGAATACGCAAACCGACCGACGAAGATGGCTCTCACTGCATTGAGCAAGCAATCGAAAACGCACAGTTGGATGGTCCTGCTCGGCGATGAGGAGGTAGGTGACAGGAATTTGTGCGTGTCTCGTCTCGCATATGTATTGCCTGCCGTGGCAGGTCGATGAGCTGATTGGTCTCAAGCGGGTGAGTCTGCGAGGCAAGACATCTTCTGCGGTGTTCAAGTTTTCAGCACCCGAAGCGGATGAAGGCGCAAGCCAAACGCAATTCCAGCTGACCATCTATGTTTTGTCTGATACATATGTCGGATTGGACCAAACAGTCCCACTTTCCATTCACGTCTGTTGAGACTTTCCATTCATTCCATTCGTGTCTTTCCTAACTGACGAGACCCTCGTTCCAGTGATTGTACATAGGAGTATACAGTAAGATTATACAGTACAGAATCAGTGTGAAGTTTCTACACCTCGGCATGCTACTTACACTCCTCGACATGCTACTTACACTGGCCCCACAACACTACAATTATGATCACTCTTTCTTCTTCTTGGTGAACTGGGCGTCGTAAAGTTCGAGGATCTTTAACGGAAGAAGCGGAAGAATTGGTTGTCCGTAATGGTGCAGAAGCTTCTGCCTCACCTGTTCGGAAGTTGTTGCGTCATCCGGATTCTTGTCGTCTCGGATTCGGAGAAAGCGAGGAAACCGGAGCCCAATCCCCTGTCATAGGCGGTATGAACTGGACGAGATGTTTGCTCGTTCATTCACCTTTGAGTCGCTTCTCAGTTCCGAGGCAGCTGTGTGGGCCGTCGAGAGGGTCATATCGGCTCCTTTGATCTCCCATACCTGCCGCATTCAACTGTCGCATGCTACATTTGCATTGTAGTCGTCGGGTGCGGTTACCTCCACAGGTTTGAACCACACGTCGCACGGCTGCTTGTCCGTCACCTGAATCCAATTTGGACAAGGCACATAATGCACAGATGCGTCTATTGATTGGCTGACCTTGTAGTATGTGGGTTTCTGGTCGACGATGTGCTCTTTCAGCGTTTGCGAATGCTTCTCGAGGGCCTCGTCAGAGAAGCCAGTCCCTGCTTTGCATATGGTCTCGTATTGATCGCCTTGTGCATCGTACACGGCTGAACCACACACATAGAGACACATTGATGCTGTTCGACATCGGCAGTCTGCGGGTTACCGAGAAGGTAGGCTCCAAACACTCCCTGCGAGAAAGATGGCAGGGGATACCCAGAAGGTCGGGATGGCCCGATGAATAACGTACCTGTCGTTTGCCTTTCCCGTGGAAGGCCCCAATAGGGATAACGTCGATCGAGTCCGTCATCCCCTGGATCAGGGAAAAGGCCGATGGAGAGAGAACCACCATGTGGTAACGTGAAGTATCGTTCAACCCACCTCTATGTAGTCTTTTTTGATCTTCAGCCAATTGAGGGATCGCTTTGAGGGCTCATATGTCGCATGATCATCCAGTGACTTCACCATCAATCCTTCACAGTGGTCTGGGAGTACAGGCGAAGACACAATTCATAGAGGCCACGCCGTCCGGGCACGAAGGAAGAGAGTGCAGAGACGCGGCTCACTTCGGACTGCTTCGTCGAGGAAGGCTTGAACATCCTCCATTGAATCAAGGTCTTTGAACCTGATGACAGGATGCACACCCAAAAGTGGACACATGCACATCACTACCGAGTGGGCCTCGGTGTTCAAGGCCCTTGTTTACTTTGCGTATTCCGCTCTGTTAGGGTCTTCAGTGAGACACTTCCACATGCACTCGCGCCTGCACGACACGCAGCCACCGCAAGGCTGAGCACCACCCCTCTTGTGTCCTCACCTTTCTTTGAATTGATGCCGGACCAGAGATTGCCCGTTGTAGTAGATACAGTCAAATGGGTGAATCTTGGTCTTGACTGTGATGTTCTGTGGGGGGTAGATGGGAGATGAGGAGACAGCCATCTACGTCCTGATTCACACCCTGACCTCACCTCTTCATTCACATCCTTGCGCTTGCGGGTGGCGAGATGCTGAAATGGCAGGATGGTCTTCGATTCGACATCAAACGCGGTAACCTTATACACACGGGGCATGCAAACTCTCGTGTCGCCGTCCCTCATTCCAGCCTTTCGCATGTGTCCGACATGTCACCTCGCAGTCCAGTATGCAACACTTCGTCTCCTGCGGGATGCAGCCACAGATGAGAGACTGCGAGACTGCCGCTGTATGCGACCTCTCGCACCATCCGTACCCATCCGTACCTCTTTCAGCAGTTCGCGAACAGCGGACTCGACCTGCACGCAGGAGGTGGAATGTGCATAGAGGGTTGATGGGGCTTCACGGCAGCACGAGTGCTTACATCCGGGTACTTGGTGGTGAGGTCCTCCGAGCTCCGAGAGAAGAACCTGTCGAAAGAAAGAAGCCTTTCCGCCGGCGCCTTTGTCAACGAAAGCTGTCACTTGCACCTGATATCCGGTAGGTCATTTCCTCTGTCAACCACATGCACCTGCAGCCGCTCTCCGTCGTACTTGTATTCGCACGTGAAATTGCACTCCGAGAAACGATCCAGCACCTCAGATATGCCTGAGACAGGCAGGAGCAATCGTTACCTATCGAGTGTGAGTTACCGGAGGCCAGTGGCACAAGTGCGCTTGCACCTTTCGTGGGTTTGGCCAGCATTGGTTTGACGGGGAGGCCTGGCTGGACTTGGCACTTGTCGGGCAGCTCGCTCGCGTCCGTCCCTGTTGTGCAGCCCGGTAGATCCACGCACAGAGTGTGTGTTGAGAATTTGTCAACGCCTGCGTACGTACGTACGTACGTACATACCTTGGATCAGGTGATCGACGATGATGTCTATGTTTGGGCACTCGCACGCTGCTGCTCGGACCGCATCGTCATAGGCCGTCAGCCGCTGGTTCAGCTCCTGTGGGCGATAGACACAGACATCGACCACGGAATGAATGGCCGCGCTACACGCAGACAGACACAACGTCTCTCTCACCTTGGTGTCCGTGCGGCTCTTGCGTCGGACATCGCCCACAGCGTCCTCGTCTGACACAGCTGGGCATGTCAGGGCGAAGGCCTGGCCGAGACACTGCAATACACACATGGACGGACGGACGGACGGATAGATGGATGTGCGCATAAGTAACAGACAGACGACATACGCACCCACTGCGTTGTGAGTGACTGTGTTGTGTTGTGTCGTGTGGGTTTGGTTGATGTCAGACATACCGAGAAGATGGATGCGGCTTGAACGCCAATCCGGAGCCTGCCTTGAAGGTGGCGGACGATATACTTGGCTTCGCTGCCCTTCGAAGCTACCAGCAAACCTTTGACCTGACACCCACATGTACACACAGACGCAAACACACATGTGTGACAACCACGTGTATGTGGCTTCAGGAGGCCCACCCACCCAGCTCAGCTGCCCTACCTACCTTGTCCTTCTTTCGCTTTTGGGCATCGTTTCCGCTGATTTTGGCGATGGCCCGGAAGCTCTCGAGCACTTTGCGGACGGCGAGGGGTTCGGGCTGAAAGAGCATGCGCTGCGTCTGGCGGGACGTGACTGCCAGCTGACCCAAATCAGCTAGCGCTTCTGCGTCTGGACACACGGCACAGGCAGGCAGGCAGGCAGAAAGGGATGCCCAGACGTTTGGGCCCACACAAGAGCTCTCGTGTGTCAATCAATGGATAGAGCGCGTGTCGAGTGGTGGCATACCTTTCTTGATGTGTGCTTCTGTCCGCCCGCTCATTTCCGATATAGCCTTGATGATGAGTGAGTCACCAACACCCAGCTCGATCCCCTGATACACACAATATATTGACACACAGATGTGGCAGCCATACGGGAGGGAGGGTGGCAGCTCGGCAGGACGCATGCAATGCACGTGCGTACCTCGTAGTCCGGGGCAACTCTTGATTCAATCATTGGGGTGAGTAGATGGATGGATGGCACACACAGAGAGACAATTGGCGGGCTCAGGCGGATACAAGCGGTGGGTGGATGGTGCATTCATTCAGTGGGTGGTGTGTACTTGTTCATGCAGAGGTACACAGCATCGTTGAGCTCTCCGGGGCAGTGCACTATGAAGATCCTGACAATCACATACAAAGAAGAACCACACGGCCGATTTGAGTCATACACTCAATGCTTCGTGCTGGCAGAGGCGGAGCTTGTGAGCCCTCCCTCCCTCCCTCCCTCCCTATATTTCTGGCTGTCTACTCTACATTTATGTCGATCGAAGGGTTCCGACCCGATTTGATTTGTTTGATGACATTCACCTGAATAGGTTTGTGAGTATGGCGTTTGACATCTTCTTGGATGACGAACCGCTGCCTTTCAGCGCGTCAATCTTGTCGAAGGCTTCGGCTATCAGACAATACCTACACACATTGATTTATACAACGTGGCCAAACCCAAGGTGACCGAGAGCCCTTCTCTTGTGGCCTCTTCTCCTTCCCATTCTACTCGCCGTCGAGGTGCTGTCTCTCTGTCTCTCTGTCTCTCTGTCTGTGCGTGTGTCTGTCTGCCTGTCCATCTGTGCGTCCGTCGCTCACTGCCACCTCTCTCCACTTCCTTCCACCTCTTCCTTCCCCGCTGGCCAGTGGGTGGGTTTCCTTACTTGAGTCCCTTTCCGTCCTTTTTGTGCTTGTAGTCGTCGACATTGAAGTGCGAGGGGTCGAATTTGGGAGATTGGATGTCCTTTGCGTCAGCAGCGTCCTGGTCCTTGTCGAGTGTCTTGGTGACGTTGATGGCGAAGACTGACTGCGCCCCGCTGCCACCCGCTGCCTTCTTGGTGCCCTTCTTCTTGGCCGAAGCCTTGGCCTTCTTCAGCACCGCCTTGCCCTGCTTCGAATCTCCTGACACTAATAAGCAATCAAGGGACGCACACACCGCACGTGCGGTGGGGGACAGACAAGGGTATACATACATACATACATACATATGGATGGATGGATGGATGGATGGATTCTGTATGTATGTATGGATGGATGGATGGATGGGAGACAGACAAGACAGATAGATATATATCTGTCTCCCCCTCCCTTGCCTGCCTGCCTGCCTACCTTTGATGCGTTTGGCTGCTTGCTCCTCCTTGTCCTCCTCAGACGCATCCTCAACCTCTGCACACACACACACACACACCCACACCCACACGACAGTCGGCTGTTCCATCCATCTATCCATGCATCCATCCATCACAGCCCTGCCCCGCCACCCACCTTCGTTGTCGCCCTCGCGTTCCGAGTCGTCCTCGACCTCATCTGACCAAACACGCATATGCAATCGATGGATGCAGATAGACAATGGATGCCACCACACATGCCACACCACCCGATCCAGCCAACATGTCACCATCCTCGCCTTCATCCTGATTGATACACACGCACGGGACACACATGGGGAGGATAAAGAGGACGGCATCCATCAGGTCCCGCCATGCGAGGTGCACAACTTCCCCCGCTCAGTATGTCTGTGTGTATCGACTTGGCTCCCTCCCCACCTGCATGTCATCTGACTGGTCCATGTCCTGGTCGTCCTTGCCCTTGTGCTCGGGGGTCACGTCGGCTTCATCCTCCTCAGACACTGAGGGATGGGATGGGATGGGCATCAACACAAACAACACACCAAACACATTGCACAGACAGACAGTTGCATCCATCCAGCGCTCTACTTGTGACAGACAGACAGACAGACAGACAGACAGGCAGTCTGCCTGTCCTTCCTGCACTGGGCGAGTGGGTGTTTGTTATGTGTTTCCCTCCCTGCCTGCCTGCCTCCCTCCCTCCCTCCCAGCATTTTCGACCTTGAGGCTTGGCGCGCTTCTTGCCTTTGGGTGGCGCCGCTGCCGCCGCCGCTGCACTGCTACCCTTCGCCACACCTGACGTAACGAACGCCTTGCATGAGCGGCAGGGGGTGGTGTCGTGTTACATGTATGTATGCACCACTTCTTGATTTACCTTTCTTGGACGCCTTGTCTTGTCCATCTGCGTCGCCAGCTTGCTGCGACGACGACGCGCCACCACCTGAGTGCATATGGGTGCACCACACGACACCACACGACACACCAGCAATTGGTGGTCGGGAAACCAAACACTCGGACGGGTGGCTGTGGATGTATGTACCTTTCGATTGGGCAGTGAAGCCGTAGTCGAGCAGGCTCCTCGACATATCTGCGACAGGGGGTCGCCCTGACACACTCGCACCTGCACACCACACCACACACCCACACACCACACACCCACACGCGAGTACGTCATGTCATGTGCATGTGGCGGGCCACTCGCTGTGAGCGAGTGGAGTGTCGTGCTCGCTGTCCGACGGTCGGTCGATTCGTCATGTGCACTGGCTGGCTGGCATACCTGGTCTACTTTTGAAGTGGCGGCGTATCCGCAGAGGCCCACCAGAGGTCCTCAGCCCAGACACAACGAAGCTGGTGAGCTGCACACACAAGACATGCAGACGCGGCGACAAGGTAGATCAGATGCAGATCCGATACTCGATGGAGCAAAGAGGCTCATTCGCATGTGTCGTGCCGGTCTGGATGAATGCGACCAGACATGCTGACAGATGCCATGTCTGTCGTGATCTGTCTGTGGATGGACCGGATGATCCCTCACCTTCCTGTTCAGCTTGAGCAACTCTCGTGCTTCAACACCCACACACAAACAACACACAACCCACAATCTTTTCATGCCACGGTGGTTGGCGAGCCTTTGAGCGCGCATTTCGGGACGAAATGGGAGGGTGTATGGTGTTGTTTGTTTTTGGTTGTGAGTGAGAGTGGTAAAGAAGCGAGGAGGGGAAGGAGAGGAGAGGACAGCTCATCGAGCGGGCAGCCCATCCCACCCACGGTTCTATCTATCTATCCCCGGCAATACATATGGCCCTCCCGCCCATCGACGAGCACAAGGAGCTGAGCATCGAGGAGCTGCCGTCATGGAGACAAAGAGAGGGCAGAGAGGGGTACTGGGACACGCGGCAAAGGGGGGGACACACACTCGCCCTCTTCACCCGACATCGCGACAAAGCTACTAGCAGCACGGCCACCACCAGCGCCCATGAACAGCCCGCCGAAGCAAACGCAAGAAAGAGCTGGCTCTTCAATGCCCGACAGGCCATCGGCCAAAGCCGAACCGTCACCTTTCTCGTCCAGGTACGTACAAACTAAGGGACGCACAGCCGCACCCAAACCACATACATACACACACACACATACATACACACACACAGACAGACAGACAGACAGACAGGGACAACTCGACTTGCACAGACCAGGTACGTACGTAGGACCAACCATATGCATACACGGATACAGACAGAAAGAACGGGGGGGCTAGTGCGCCGCACCCACCCGTACTCTCACTGTGCGTGTGTTGGTGTGTGGTCCCTGCCTGCGTCTGTGCGTGTGTTGTTGTTGGTCTGTCGGTTCATTCAATCAGACGTACGAGGGCCGTGCGTTAAACCGTTCTTGCCCGTCGTCGTCCCCGTCCCCCTCGAGCAGCACCCGTTCCCCCGTAAGTTGCTCGTCGCTGGCAGTGCGGCTGACGTCCTCGGCGACCTCTGCCGTCATTCACGCTGCGTGGACTGGCTTGGCTGCGGTGTGGATAGCCGTCTTGAGAGGCCGGGACAAGCGGCAAGGGCGGAGAGGGGTGACGAACAAAGCAGTAGCTTTGGCTGCGCTGTTCCTGTTGTGGCTGCTGTGTCCCCTGCCTTTGGCGCTAAGGTCGGCTACGGCAGGGTCTCAGGACCCAGACAAGGGGGAAAAGGACGGGGACGAGGGAGGAGAGGGTGGACAGGAGAAAGGGGGCAGCACAGGGATTTCCGATAGTGAGGCGCGGGGTAGAGAAGAACAGACATCCGACTAGATACATATAGACAACGATGAGGTGAGGAGATGCGCACATACATACATACATACGTACAGGTCAGTCAGTTGTCTGTCATGCGTTGGTTGGGTAGGGGACGTCCGTACCGTCGTGTTGGTGGTTCGGCTCGGTGCATGGCTGGTTCGTCGACGGACTGTGTGGGTGGATGGATGGATGGATGGATGGGGGGACGAAATGCCTCCACCAGACAGAAATGGTCCGTGCGCGTGTGCGTGAGTGTTGAGTCAGACCCATTCATATGGTTGGTTTTTTCCTGAGGGAGCATCTCATCTATCTACTCTGCATCGACCCCTGTGCACTCGTGTTCATGTATGTATGTCCCGTTTTGCCGTCCTTGTTGTCATCCAATCAATCAATGACTTAACACACTGGAACACCGAACTGGTTTCGCGGAAGCACCAAAAAGTGGAGATCGATCATCCCTTGCGGATAGTGAATGACAGAGATCTGTGTTGAAACGCCTCTATGCGACATGCTGACATCCCGTAGCGCCTTTGTTTGAGTGTGCACGTCCCGGCGCCGCCGATGGCTCGTGAGTTGGCGACGACGTCAGCCGTCATCGACGCGTACAACCTCAACAGGTGGCTACAGACGGCGAGGGAGGTGCACGGGATGCGCACTGACGGGTTTGTTGATGTGTGCGTGTGTGTGGCAGTGAGTTGCCGTCGACGAGCAAGGCTCGGAAGGACAGCCAGAATCCGCTGAGCCTGCGTTACGACAAGAAGGGCAAGTTGTGGAAGAAGAATGGCATCCTGAAGGAGCTCGTCGGCAATGATCCTACCAACTCCATCCGAAGATGCAGGTAGGTACGACGGAGCGAAGGTGGGGTGGGCAGGGAGGGCACCCACTGGTGGGTGGCTGTGGTGGGTGGCCGGTGTCGGCTGTATCTATGTGGGTGGGTGGCTCGGGGCCATGCAGCCAGCCAGCCAGCCACTGTGTGTCTGTCTGTGTGGTTGTGTGCAGGTATGTTGGTCTGCGCAATCTTGGCGCCACCTGCTACATGAACTCGTTCCTGCAATACCTGCATATGGTGGGTGGGTGGGAGGGTGGGATGCCCCTCACACGCATACATACATACATACATACATCCGATTGATGCCCTCCGGGGCTGTTGGTGCATACGAGTGTGCGTATGTGTGTCGTGTCAGAATACCGATTTCTCCGTCCGGTTGCTGCGTGTGCCTCGGGACCGAACGACATGGACGGACGTTGACAAGCAGCGAGATGTGCTCATACCACTCCAGAATTTGTTTGGGCTGCTCCAGGACGGTACGTGCGCTGCGCATCGCAGGCAACAAAACAAACAGACGGATCGCAGATCGTGTGTCGCCTATACATACGTGTGTGTGTGTGTGTGTGTGTTGCCGTGGTCTGTACGTCCCAGGTCACGCGTCGAGTACTGACCCGAGTGAGGTGGCTGAGGCGCTCAAGATCGAGACGGGGAACCAGGAGGACGCGACCGAGTTTGCGACTCTGCTGTTGACCCATCTGGAGGAGGATCTCCGCAAGGCCCGCCACCGCAACATCGTCCCGGACCTCTTCAAGGGCACCATGCAGCGCGTCACGACCTGCCGCGGATGCAAGACCAGCTCACACCGAGAGGAGGACTTCTCGGAGCTACGCGTCTCCGTACCCGCACAAGACAAGCGAGCCAATGCCAGGAAGCAGGGTGGCGACAAGGGTGGCCAACAACAGCCCACGGATGGGGAAAGACCGCAGGGGGGCGGCGGGGGTGAGTGTGGGGCCAAGGGCGGCCAGCACGAGGGTGGCGAGGCCGCTGTCATGGCCGCCGATGACCTCGACGCGCAGCAGCTGGCTAACGGCATGGCCAATCGCACCGGCCGTTTGAAGCGTATGAAGGCCAACAAGGCGGCGGCCAAGGAGGCCCCTGCTGCAGCTGCTGCTGGTGAGGGCAAGGCGGGTGGTGGTGGTGGGGCGGCGGCCAAGTCTTCCCCGTTCCAGGTGGAGGTGGGTTTGAATCGCATCTTCGACAAGGAGGCGTTGGAGGGTGACAACCAGTACGAGTGCGGTAGCTGCGAGGGCAAGCAGGACGCCGACCGGTACAACCAGCTGACGGTGTTGCCGCCGTACCTGCACGTCTGTCTGGAGCGGTACGCCTACGACCCCCAGACGCTGCAGCGCAAGAAGGTCAACACCTCCGTCGAGTACCCCGAGTACATCAACGTCAAGCCCTACGTCAACAAGCTGGGCGTCGTGCGGGCCGTCATGCCCTACAACGGCACCGTCGTCCTCGCCGACGGGGAGGTCAGCGGCCCGCCGGTGACTGTCCCCGTCACCGACGACCGCATGTACGAGTACGACCTCATTGGCGTACTCGAGCACCATGGCCAGTCGGCACAGCATGGACACTACACCGCCATCCTCAAGGACCTCCACTACGACAAGGACAAGGCCGCTGCCAGCGAGCCAGACGACCCGGACGCCCCACGTGACAACCTCCCACCCGGCGACAACAGGCGGGGTGCCAAGGGCGGCAACAAGGGCGGCAACAAACGGGGCGGCGGCATCGACATAGATGTTGACGAGGAGGACTACGACCCTGAGGGAGATGATGATCATGATGCCGACGCTGATGCCGACGATGACGCCGATGACCACCCCGACGGTGCCAAGGGCCCCAAGCGACGCAAGGTCAAGGACAACGCACCGCTCGACCTCGACGGCGCTCCCGCTCCTCGCCGCGGCCGCAAGCGGCAGGGGGTGCGAGCGGCTGAGGGTGGTGACGGCTGCATCCGTCTGGACGATGATGACAGCGAGGGCCATGACGACCCCGACTACCGACCTGCGGGGGGGCAGAGAGGTCGCAAGGCCAAGGCCAAGGCCAAGCGGAAGGGAGCCGCCAAGGGGCGTGCCAAGGGGGGTGGTGGGGCCGGGGGGCGGGGGGCGGGCAAGAAGAAGAAGGCCAGGGACTCCGACGAGCGCTCCCCCGGCCAACCCACCATTCAAGACTTCTTCTCGCCCTCTTCGCCACACCGGCCCCCTCGGCAGCCACCGGTCATCGACCTCGAGGCCGAGGTGGACGAGGCACCGCAGCCCGCACGTGCGGTCATGCCTGGACAGGGCCTCAAGGGTGGTGCCCCGCCCAAGGGAGGCAGAGGAGGGGCCGACGGAGGCCACAAGGGTGGCACCCAGCCCCATGATGATGACATGGCTGACGGGCAGCCCACCCACCCGCCAGCCGAGGGGGCAGATCGTCACGAAGCTGGCGTCAAGATGGACGTTGATGCGGTGGCGGCCAAGGAGGAGCCAGACGACATGGATGTCGTCGAGGGGGATGGTGCAGACGGCCTCGACCAACAGGTCAATGGCATCGATGAGCATGTCAAGCCCGATGCGCCCGATCCTGGAGAGGGCCTGCAGGAGGCCATGCCCGGCATGCGCCAGAGCGACCGTCAGAAGAAGCGCAAGCAGGCTGAGGTGGACAAGAAGGAGCAAGAGGCTGCCCTCCCACCGCCTCCACCCCCCCCCCCACCCCCCGCCGGCAACGGGCGAGGCAAGAAGGGCAGGGCGAAGGCCGAGAAGGACAAGGCGGGGGGAGGAGACGACGAGATGGCCAGCGAGGACGCCCCGCTGGACCGGCCAGTCAAGTACACTGGTCCCTGGAAGTGGGTCGAGTATGACGACACAACCGTCAAGGAGAAGAAGCTTTGCTTCCGATCCAACGAGGAGGTCGCACAGAACGTCACCCTCCCTGACACCGAACCTGCCGCTGCCGCTGCCGCTGCCGCTGCTGCTGATGGTGGTGGTGATGGAGACGTGGACCACCAGCCAGGAGGTGTGGACGGCGATGATGGGCCGCCCGGGCCGATCGCCTCTGACCCTGACCAGCCGTCGGACCCCTTACCGATGGACGAGGAGGCCCCACCCGTCGAGGGAGGTGGAGGTGACGGTGGTGGTGGTGGTGGTCCACCAGGCGGGCCCCGGCCGCGGCGCAACCCGCCACGCAACAAACAGCGCAAGGACGTCGTGTCCGACGACCATCCCACTGCGGCCAAGCGGCGCTTCAACTCGAGCCAGAAGGCCTATCTCATCCTGTATAAGCGTCGCGACTGGCAGCCGATGGACAAGGCTGAGCTGCCGCCAGAGGTGCAGGAGGTCGTCCAGGAAAAGAACGGCATACTCGTCAGGGACCAGGTATTTATTGGATGTGTATACGTACCGTACGTATAGGTGTGTGTGTACATCTGTATGTATCCGACAACCCACATACATACATACATACATACATGCATGTCGGAGGGAGGCAGGCGGGCAGGCAGGCAGGCAGGGAGGGAGGGAGGCACCGTTTGCATTGCACCTTCGTCCTCTCATTTGGCTGTCTGCCTGTCTGCTGTGTGTGTTGTCTACTCACAGGAGGAGTACAACCGTCAGAAGGTCAAGGCGGAGGCATTTGTCGAGCACCGCAAGAGTGAGGTGAACAGTGTGGACGAGGCCATTGACAAGGCCATTGGCAGCCTGGGCCGCAAGCTGCGCGACAAGGATGTCACCTTGCGGCTGGAGGACCCCGACGTCAGGCGGCCGGCCCTGGTCAAGAAGAGGGAGGACTTCATCTCCGAGATGCTTGACGACAGGACATGGGTGCCCTTCACGTGGTTCCAAGACTGGTGCAACGGCGAGGATGCCATCGGACGACACAAGGCACTCTCCCTCCGCAAACCCACCACCCACAACCAACAACCAATACCGCCCCAACCACCACCCAACGACCACCCTGCCAACGGTGCGGATCTAGCGGCATCCCCCGCCCCTCGCCCAATGGATGTGTCCGAGTCTGCCGCTGCCGCTGCCGCTGGTGGTAGTGGTGGTGGTGAGCAGCCAGGAGGGGCCATGGGTGGCCAGAGTGCGCTAGAGGGCGAGGGATGCGGCCCCGCCGGTGCGGCGGTGCTGAACGGCGATGTGGGTGACCATCCTGAGGTGGAGTGTGTGTCGATGGATCATGACGACCTGACGTGTGTGCGTCCCAAGGCCATCGACTACACGACCATCTTGTGCCACCATCACCCCGTCATGGCCAGCCTCAACGCGCCCCTCAAGGACGGCGATGACACCACCACCACCAACCAACACCACACACACGAGGGCGTCAATGGGGTCGGCCAGCGCCCGTGGGGCAGGGCGGAGGCTGCGGCGCCCAGGGGAGGCATATCCGGCAGTCGGGCCGTCGATGAGTCGGAGCTCAGCCAATTCCAGGTGGGTCAAACACACAGGCATAACGACAGACACAGCACAGTCACCACCACACACAGGCACTGCACTGCACTGCACGGCACAGTGAGGGAGGCGCAGACAGACAGACAGACAGACAGACGGGCATCACTCATTCACTCACTTCCATGGCTGTATGTGTGTGCCGCCTCCACCCTC